GAGGGGGCGGCGCCTCGTCCCGAGGGCGCCGAGGGCGCCGAGGGCGCCACCGACCCCCCTCAAGGTAAGGCTCGATTGGAGATCTTCATCTTACCGTCAAGATGCCCTCAGTCAAAGCCGGGCGGGACCGATCTCGAGCCGTTCGCGCGCGCCTGGACGCGCCGCCATGAGCTCCGATTCCTCGGATGACGAGCCCATCGCGAACTCGTTGCCGGCCAGGAGGAAGCTGCTCGCGTCGCGCGACCGCGTCGTCGCCTTCGCCGACGGCGCGGACGACGCGCTCGCCGACGCCGTCGCCGCCGCCGCCGCGACCGGGGAGCTCTGCGTCTTGCTCAACGTCGACCTGCAGCGCCTGCGCCCGCGGCTCGCGGCGCGCGGCGCGAAGCCGCCGGCGGTGATCGACGGCGCGACGGCCGCCAAGGCGCGCGGCGCGCTCTACCGCGGCGTCGTCGCCGCCTCGTCCTGGGCGCTCTGCGCCGACGCGTTGTCCAACACCCTCGACGTCGCGCGCGTGAAACGCGTCGTCGTCGGAGAGTGCGAACACGTGGACGCCGCGGGCGGCTTCTTCCTCCGGCTCTTCGCGGAGCGGCGCGCGCCAGCCGCGCGCCTCGACGCCTTCGCGGGCTGCCCCGTCGCGCTGGCCCGCGAGCCCGGAGCCGTCGCCGCCCACCTGTGCGCGCGCGCGGCCGCGCGCGCCGCCGCGCCGCGCCGCGCAAAGGTGTTCGTCGCGCGCGTCGCGCCTTCCGCCGGCCAGCGCGCGTGCGAGGCCGCGCTGGAGGAAGCGGCGGCCATCTGCGCGCGGGACGTCGCGCGGACCTGCGCGCACCTCGCCGGGGACCGCCCCTGGCCCGCGGGCGAGTGGGGCGAGTTCTTCCTCGGCGACGTCTCGCACGCGCTGAGCAGGGCAGGACAAGAGAGCGAAATTCCCAACTTCAAAGGCTCAAATCTCGGCCGTTTTCCACTCGTTTCGGCTGATTTTTGGACGAGCGATCATCTCTCGGAACGGTCTCGAAGCGTGGATGCTTTTGTCGGAACGCGCGCGCGCGGAACACTCACGTTGAAGCGACGTTGAATCACCCTTGTCCTGCCCAGGCGCTGCGCGACTCGCGCTCCGCGTTCCGCCACTCGGCGGCGGAGCGGCACCTGCGGACGCTCCGCGGCATGCGGCGGCTGGGCGCGACCCTGACGACGGACAGCGCCTTCGCGTTCCTGCGGGCCGTGGAGGAGGTGAAGCGCCAGGGCTTGCAGTCCGAGGATCCGCCGCCGTGGCTCGGCTCCGACGCCTTCGAGGCGCTGACGGCGAACGCGCGGAGGCGCTGCGCCGACGGCGAGCGGCCGCCCAAGTGGGGCGCGCTGGCGGCCCTGCTCGCGCGCTTCTCGTCGCGCGCGTCCGTCGCGATCCTATGCGCCGACGACGAGTCGCGGCGCGCCGTCGCGACCGTTCTTACGAAAGGCGCGGACGCCGCGCTCGCGTCCCTGAAGCGGCAGCACGCCGTCGCGTCGGCGGCGTCGCTGCCCAAGGACCCCGCCCGGGATCGCCCACCAGGCGGCGCTCCGCGCGGAGCTCGAGAACGCGCTCGCGGCGCCCGACGACGACCTGGTCGTCGCGCTCGAGCGGAGCCGCGAGTCCGTCGAGAGCGACGCGCTCAAGGCCGCCATCGACGCGTCCTTGGAGGCGGCGTCGAAGCGGCGGTCGTCCGTGGACTGCGAGGACGTCGCGCGGGCCGTGGCGCTGTCGAAGCGGCGGTCGAGCGTCCGGGACCCGGCCCTCGCGGCCGCGCTCGCGGCGTCGCTCGAGGACGGCGACGACGGCGGCCTCCAGCGCGCGCTCGCGCTCTCGGCGGCCGAGGCCGGGGGCGGCGGCGCGGCGGAGGTCGGAGGCGGCGCGGCGGCGGAGGTGGGAGGTGGCGCGGCGGCCGGGGCCTGGGGCGGCGGCGCGGCGGCGGAGGTCGTCGACCTCTTGACGCCGCCGAGCCCGCGGCCGCAGGTCGTCGACCTGAGGTCGCCGGAGGACCTCCCGGAGGACCTCCGGTCGCCCGACGAGTCGGCCCGCCGGTCGCCCGGCGCGCGGCCCGCGCGGCGGCCGCGGCGCGTCGCCGTCTTCGCGCGGCGCGACCTCCCGGCGCTCGAGGGCTTCCGGCCGGCGCTCGTCGTCGTCTACGACGGCGCGCGCGACCTCTGGGCCGCGGCGCGCGCGCTCCGGGCCGCGCGGCCCGCGACAACGCTCGCGCGCGTGCTCTTCGCCGAGGGCTCGCTCGAGGCGCGCGCGCGCCGCGAGACGCGCGCGCGCGAGGCCGCGGCGTTCCGCGCGCTCGCGGCGCCCCGCGCGCCGCCGCCGCGGCCCGCGCCGCCGCCGGCGGGCGCGCCGTGCGTCGCCGTCGACGCGCGCGAGCTCCGGAGCGGCCTGCCCCGCGCGCTCCACGAGCGGGGCGTCGCCGTGTCCGTGGAGACGCTGGCCGTCGGCGACTACGTGCTGTCGCGGCGCCACGCCGTCGAGCGGAAGAACGTCGACACGGGCGACCTGGACTCGAGCCTCGAGTCGGGCCGGCTCTGGACGCAGCTCCGGTCGCTGGAGCACCACTACGCGAACCCGCTTTTACTGCTCGAGTTCGAGCGGAAGACGCGGCCGTTGAGCCTGCGGCCCCTGCCGGACTCGCTGCACGCGCGGCACCCGGTCGCGAAGCTCGCAAAATGCGTCCTCGAGTATCCGAACGCGCGGCTTCTCTGGTCGCCGTCGGCGGCGGACACGCCGGCGCTCTTCGCGGCGCTCGCGGGCGGCGGCGACGTCGACGTCGCGGGCGCCAGGGCGCTGAAGGACGAGCAGGACTTCCACCGGCGCGCGCTCGCGAAGCTGCCGGGCGTCGCCAAGGCGCCGGCCGCGAAGCGCGCGTTCCTCCTCGAGAGCGACCTGTGCCTCGCGGACCTCGCGACCCTGACGCGGGACGAGCTCGGCGCGCTCCTCGGCCCCGAGGCGGCCGAAGAGCTGGCGGCGTTCCTGGACCGGGACCTCCGCGGCGGCCTCCGGGAGCACGAGGCGAACGTCGTCGACGGCGAGAGGCCGCCGAAGCGGCCGCGGAAGCGGCGCTAGGATTAGGTCAGATGGAGAGGTGGGGGTTGTCCGGCGGGTTGAAGGAGAGCTTGAAGTCGTCGGCGTCGTCGTCGGGCGTGACGTTCTCGATGGCCTTGACCTCGGCGATGTAGTGCATGAGCATGTTCTCGACGCCGTTGCGGAGCGTCACGGACGAGGACGGGCAGCCGACGCAGGACCCGGCGAGCTCGACCTTGACGACGCCCGTGGCCTCGTCGAAGCCGCGGAAGAAGATGTCGCCGCCGTCCTCCTGCACCGCCGGCCGGATGCGCGCCTCGACCAACTCCTTGATCATCGCGACGACCTCGCTGTCGTCGTCCGTGATGAGCGTGTCGCTCGCCGCGGGCAGCGCGTCCTCGACGGCCGGCAGGCCCTCGGCGTAAAAGTCCATGATGTGGCCGAAGACGTGGGGTTTTATGGTCGCCCAGGCGCCGTCCTCGTTCTTGGAAACGGTCACGAAGTCGCGCGCGAGGAAGATGCCCGTGACCCCGTCGATGGCGAAGAGCTTCTTGGCCAGGGGCGACCGCAGGTACTCCGTGTCGCCCCGGTGGAAGTGGAAGCCGCTCTTGTCCTGGTGCTCCTCGCCGAGCACCGCCTGGCTCGGCACGAACTTCAGGCTAAAGGGGTTCGGCGTCTTCTCGACCTGGATGAAGACGCCACGGCGGCTTAGTGATCGCCGGAACGGCCGCGACAGGGCGGCGAACATCGTGTTGTTGGTGGCGCGTGCAGGCCGGCGTCGGAGAAGGTGCTCAGCGCAAGACGGAGCAGGAGCCTGAAGCTTCATGAGACGGCGCCGCGTCAACGTCGTGAAAGAGTCGATAGTGCCGCTGCGGCGACGCGATGCGCGCGTGACGAGGGGACATCTCCAGCCCTACCACAGCGCATCTCTGCGATGCGCGCGTGACCGAGGGGACATCTCCAGCCCTACCACAGCGCATCTCCAGCCCTAGAAAAAACATGGTCAAAAAGCAGAAGCAGAAGAACACCTACGAGTACCTCCCGACGCCGTCCGTCGTCGCGCCGCGCCACTACGAACCCGGCGAGGTCGTGCGCCTCTGCCGCGCCTCCGACGGGCGGCGGTCGTCCTACGCGACGGTGCGCGCCTACGACGCGGCGCGGGACGTGCTCGAGCTGCGCTTCGGCACGGGCGAGTGCGGCGAGGTCGCCGGCCGCTGGCGCGCGGTCACGCGCGGCGCGGCCGGGATGCGGCTACCCACGGACGCGTGGGCGGGCGTCGCGAGCTACCTCGGCGCGAAGCGCGTCCTGCGCTTCGCCCGCGTGTCCCGCGCGCTCCACGCCGCCGCGGGCCTCGACGGCGGCGCGCCCGCGAGCCGCGAGGCCTGGCGGCTCAGGGTGCTCGCGCGGTGGCGCTACGGCGCCGAGGTCGTTCTAGACGACGGCGACTGGCGCGCGTGCTACGAGCGGCGGCTCCGAGCCGAGCGGGCCCTGCGGAAAAGGACAGTGTGCGACAAGGTGCTGCGCAACGCGCGGAACTTCGCGCCGCGGCTCTGCGCGAACCCGGCCTGCTGCCACGTTCTATCGACGCGCGGCGCCGCGCTCGCGCACCACGCCGTGCACCCCTTCTCCTGGACGCACCTCACGGACGACGACGACCGCTGGCTCCAGGCGACGCAGCAGAAGCTCGAGCACCGGCGCCACACGGACGACGCCGCGCCCGCGCTCTGGCGCGCGTGCAAGGCGCTCCGCCGCGTCCGGCGCCAGCGAAGAGGGCAGGGGTTAGGGATGGCGTAAGGACACTTCGGAGGTGCGCATTTCGATGTGCTTGTACACGTTAGGGGGGCGGGTGGCGACGGCGTCTTCGCGCGGGCCGGACGATGAAGCTTGCTATGCATCGAAACAAGCGATCGAAACTCGCAATCATCTCACATCGAAACGCGGCATCGCTCGCGGGCACCTTCACCCCTCGTCGTCTTGGTCCCGCCGCCCCCGAAGCCGCGCACCTCGAACGTCCCGCCCTCGAAGCTCACGAACCGAGCGCCCATCGTCTCCGTCTTCTTGCGAGGCTCGCCTCCGACTTGTCCACGTCGTCCCCATGGAGTGGGAGCGCGCGGCCTCGTACGAGCGCTTCAACCTCAGCATCGACGAATCAGAAGGCGAGGAAGAAACAAAGTTAGAGTGGTCAAGCGGCCGAGGACGCTTCATGATCAACAACACCGTCGGCTACGGCGCCGTCCCGCTCGAAAAGCCCGCGGCGCCGGCCCGGTGCCGCCCCTTCGTCGTCGTGCTCGTCGTCGCCGCGCTCTCCGCGGGGCTCGCGGGCGCGGGCTTCCGGCGGCACCAACACCGACGGGACGTCGCGACGCTCACGCCCGTCCGCGCCGCGGAGGCGCCCGCGCTCGCCGAAACATCGGCGGACGGACCGGTCCCCCCGGCGCCGGTCCCCCCGGTCCCCCCGGCGCCGGTCCCCCCGGTCCCGCCGGCGCCGGTCCCCCCGGTCCCCCCGGAGGACCCCCCGGCGCCGCTCCCCCCGGTCCCCCCGGAGCTCCCCCCGGCGCCGACGGCCGCGCCGACGCTCGAGCCGACGCACCGGCCGACGCATTCGGTCGACTGGCACTGGACGCACGACGGCGTCGGCCAGACCGTCGCCTGGCTGTCGGTGCTCCTGCTGCTCGTCGGCGCGCTCGTCGGGCTCCACTGCTTCAGCGGGATCCTCTTTTTCGCGTCGGACGCGCGGGACCTCGACGACGAGAAGGTGCCGCTCGTGGGCGGACGGAGGATCGCGCCCGCGGACGGCTACCGCTACGAGGGCGGGCCGACCTACGACGACGACGACGACCCGGCGGTCGTCTACGAGGACCTCGGCGGCGGCTCCGACGAGGAGGAGCTGCCCATCCCCACCGCGCGCGCGTTCGTGCTCTAAGCGCCGGTCTCCTACCTCTTAGCCCCCGGCGAGAGGCGGAAGGTCGCGACGACGGGCCGGTGGTCCGAGTGCGTCGCGGCGTCGACGGCGTCGTAGGACGCGAGCATCAGCTCCGGCCGCCGGCCCCGCGTCGCCGCGGGCGCGCGCGGCGTGTACAACACGCGGTCCGTCCAGCTCGGCACGCGCATCTTCTTCGACGAGTCGTAGCGGTTTGAGCGCTTGTCGAACTTGAAGGTCGGAGCGAAGGCGACGGGCCCCTCGAGGAAGCCGCCGAAGGCCCGGCCCGCCGCGCGCTCCCTCCGGAGCTGGTCGTGCTCGAGGAGCGCGTCGAGGCCGCCGACGAGCGCGCCGCGCTCCGCCTCCTCGCGCGGCAGGTCCAGGCGGTAGTTCAGGTCGCCGGAGAAGACGACGAGGTCCGCCGCGTCGACGAGCGGCGACCGGCCGGAGGGCTCGGGAGACTCCAATCCGCCGCCGCCGCCGCCCCAGGCCTCGGGCAGCTGCGCGGCGAGCTCGCGGCAGATGCGCCAGTAGTCGGCGTTGCGGTCGTCGACCTTGTGCGCGTGGGCCGCGAGGTGCGCGGCGACGAGCACGAGTTTTACCGGTAATTTCTTCTTCTTCTCGTCGGCGTCGCGCAACCCTAGTTCCAAGAACGCGGCCGCGCAGCCCTTGTTGCGCACGATGTTGCCGATGCCGCAGGCGACGTCGCCGACGGCGCAACTTCGAACGGCCAACGGCGCGCGCCGGTTCACGAAGACGGCGAGGCGCACGGGGCCCGCGGCGTGGTCCGCGACGCGGTCGAACTGCCTGTCGGGGAACGCCTTGCGCAGCGCGCGCGTCCAGGCCGCGGAGCGGTGGCCCTCGCTGCGCCGCGGCTTGAGGTCCTCGAGCTCCTGCACGCCGACGCAGACGACGCTGTGGTGGCGCAGGTCCTGGAGGAACTTGCAGTCCTTCGCCGACGGGCTCAACGCCGCCATGTTCCAGGTCACGCAGGCCACGGTGACGAGGTCGTCGTCGCGCGCGACGACGGCCGTCGCATTCGTGGCGTTTGGTGGGGGTGGTGTGGCGTCTGTCGCGTTCGCCGCCGCCGCAAGTGCGAGCAGCAGCGGCGCCCAAAGACGCACCATGCTCAACCTGGCGAGCTTTGGCAGTGGCAAGAGCATGGGGCAGTGTTTTGCGGCCTCTCTCTAGCGCCCATCAGACGCGCTAGCCCGCCTGCGCGCCTCCTAGAAGACCGCCATGGCGGCCCACGTCGCGAATATAAACGACAGCGAGACCCACTCCGACGAGGACGAGAGCGACGGCGGCCTCGACGACCTGCTGGGCATCGGCAGCCTCGACTGCGCCTCGGAGAGCGAGGAGGACGAGGCGCCGCTCTTCGCGCGGCGCGACGCGGACCTCGGCGCGCTGCTCGACGCCGATCGCTACTTCGCGGTCGTCGACGGCGCCGTCGACGCCGTCCGCGCTCGCGTCCGCGCTGGAGGACCTGGAGGCCGTCGACTTCGCGCAGCACCGCTTCGTCTTCGAGCGAAAGAAGTACGACAAGCCGGGCATCTTCGAGGCCGACCTCACCGGCGACTGCGCCGCCGCGCCGCCGCGGCTCGTCCGGCTGCTCAAGCGCTTCGGCGCGGAGGTCGCGGACGCGCTGCCCGTGCCGTGCGCGCGCGCCGCGGCGATCAAGGTGCAGCGCAACGACGGCGGCGCGTTCCCGGCGCACTACGACAACGCGGGCCCCCCGAGCAAGCGCGCCGTCACCGCCGTGCTCTACTTCGGGGCCGAGGCGGGCGGCGACCTCGTGCTCGGCGGGGCAGGAAAAGAGTGCGAAATTCCCAACTTCAAAGGCTCCTATCTCGCCCGTTTTCCACTCATTTTGGCTGATTTTTGGACGAGCGATCATCTCTCGGAACGGTCTCGAGGCGTGGATGCTTTTTCCGGAACGCGCGCGCGCGAAACACTCACGTTGAAGCGAACTTGAATCACCCTTTTCCTGCCCAGGTGCTCGCGCCCTTCCTCCGGCGCGGCGTCGCCGTATCGCCGCGGCGGAACCGCCTCGCGCTCTTCCGCTCGGACCGCGTGCTCCACTGGGTGACGCCCTGGACGGGGAAGCGGCCGCGCTACTGCGTCTCGTTCTGGTTCGACGGCGCCGTCAACGCGCCGGAGGACACGCTCCTCACGAAGGACGCGCTCCGGTTTCCCGACTGGGACGCGTGCGCGGCGTTTTTCACGAGATCGCCGCTCCAGCGGGCCGTGTCGCGGGCGGTCTACGAGGACGACTACGCGGAGAGCCTCGCCGCCTGCGTGCGCGACGCCGAGGCCTACGCCGCGATGGCCGCGGGCCACGAGCGGGCCGTCGCGGGCCTCGAGGGCCAGCTCCTGCCGCTCATCACCGAGCTCCGGCGGCGCAAGGCGCTCCTGGAGCCGCCGGAGGTGCTCGCCTAAAGCCTGTGTTTCCCGGCGAGCGGTGCTCGGGAGCAGCGCTCGGAAGTACCACCTCTTAGCCGCCCGCGTCCTCGGGGCGGTGGAGCGGGTCCTCGGGGTTCCGCTGGCGCTCGAGGCGCGCGCCCGCGGGGAGGTAGAGCGGGTCCTCGGGCTGCGCGAGGACGACGTCCGGCCGCGGCGCCGCGGCCGTCGCGCGGTAGATGACCTTGTTCTTGCCGACGCAGCGGAGGAAGCCCATGCCGACGCCCGCGTCCTTTCGGAGGAGGTAGTCGCAGAAGTCCGCGTGGCTCGCGACGTCCGCCTTCCGGAGCGCCGGGAAGAGGTCGCGGAAGACGCAGCACGGGACCACGGCGAAGGGCTTGCCGTACTTGAGCCCCGCGTCGACGATGGCCTCCGACGCCTCGTCCGCGTGCAACCCGACGATCGCCGAACAGGCCGCGAGGAGCGCGCGACCCTCGGGCGACGCCTCGAAAACACTGTCCAGCAGGCCCCGGACGTGGCCCGGCTCGCGCGCCGCCGCGCCGTTCGACCCCGCGGCGCGCTTCCGGAGGAGCTTGCGCCGGCGCCGGCAGAGCGGCTTCCGGAACCGGGGGTCCAGCGTGACGCAGTCGATGCCGTGGACGCACTGGAGCTCCCAGGCCAGCGCGCCCTTGCCGCCCGCGACGTCGAGGATCGGACCCTGCTCCAGCGTCGCGCGGCCGAAGGTGTCCAGGAGCCACGTCGCGAACTCCGAGTGGCGCGCGGCGTGCGCGCGCTTCTCGGCGTCGTCGAAATTCGCGTTCTTGTGGCTCCGCGACGCGCCCTCGGCCCGCTCGGCCCAGGGGTCGCGCGCGTCGCCCTCGCGCTTCAGCTCCGCGAGCCGCCGGAGCTTGGCGCCCTCGGACCAGCGCCTTTCGCCGTCCGTCGCGAACGCGTGGCGGTAGGGGCACCGGGGATTCTTGCACGCGCCCCGGGCCCAGAGCTTGCAGAGCACGTCGCGCGGGTCCCGCGGGACGACGAGCTTCGTGTCCTCGTCGCGGCCCATCTCGCGCACCGTCGCCACGGCCTCGCAGCGCAGGGCCCGGAGGCCGCGCTTCGACGGGTTCGGCTCGTCGCGCGCGGCGACGCGGACGACGGCGGCGCGCTCCGCGCCGGCGAAGGTGTTCGCGTCGCAGCTCAGCTGCCACTCCTCGGCCGAGCCGTCGCGCCGCACGTCCATGAAGACGAAGCGCTTGCCGAGGCGCCGCCAGCGCACGACCGTCGCCTCGAAGCGCTCCAGCGGCGCGGGCGCATCGGCGGACGACGACGCCGTCGCGCTCGCATCGATCGCGGCCATGTGGGACGACGACGCCGTCGCGCTCGCATCGATCGCTGCCATGCGGTCATCCAGCGGCGGCGGCGCGTCGTTCTCTTTGGCCGACGAGGACATGCTGCCGATGGCAGCCACGATTGCCATCGCAATCGCTGCCTCAAGCAACCAGTGTTGAAGGATTCATGCCGATTGGTTTCACGATCCAAGAGCTGGGCTGCCTCTCGACCGCGGCCGACGCGCGGGGCGGGGCGATCCGGCCCTTTTCCATGCCGCGGAGCTCGGCCCGTCGCACCTCGAAGAAGTCGCCCGTCTCATCGAACCTCCTCTCGGGCACCTACACGACCCTGAGTTCGTTGAAAGCGAAGCACCGGCGCTTCAAGGGCGGCGGCGCCGACGAGGAGTCCAAGGAGGCGCCGCCGGAGAACATGCGCATGTCGCCGAGCCACTGGGACCGCGGCGCCGACGACCCGCCGCCCGTGCCGACCTTCACCGCGCGGCGCCGGCCGTCGCAGAACTCGAGCGTTTTGGAAGCCGCGTTCGGGTCCTGGCTCTGCTGCGCCGAGGAGGAGCCCATGACCCTGCCGGACATCCCCCAGGGCCCCCTCTGGGGGCCGCTCGTGCGCCACATGCCCTGCCGCGACGACGCGGACGTCCACGCGCGTCGCCCCGCGTCGAAAAGTTCCGCGGTCCTTCGAAGCGCGATTAGCAATGTCCCCCGCGCGCAGGTCTTCCTGCAGCTCCTCGACGGCCTCGTGGGCCGGGGCAACGTCGCCAACGACGTCTGCGAGTCCGGCAACTCGATCCTCCACTACTGCGCGCAGCGCAGCGACCCGAAGCTCCTACTGGCGCTCTCGGACCTACCGAACACGAATTTGGACCACGAGCGGTACGTCGACCTGCTGCGCAAGAAGAACTTCGGCGGCCAGCGGCCCCTGGACCTCGCGCTCATGGTCGACGCGGCGGACTGCGTCGCGATCATCCAGACGAAGCACCGCCTCATGGGCTTCAACCCGGACGCCGCGAACGGGCCCGCGGCCGCGGCCGCGCCGCCGGCGTCGCGACGAGCGTGAGCGCGTGGGCCCCCGGGTCTTGTAAGCGCGGGGGAATTTCCGTGGGTCTGGTTCGTCGCGGCCGCGCGGCGCGTGGGACGCGTCGGAGGCGTCCATGATGACGTGCATCGACTCGAGCAAAAAGTGAGCGAGTCTCGGAGCGCAACAGGTGGCGCACTCCTCGACGCGTCGCGGCGCTCACGCCCCCCCTCGAAACCTGGCCAAGCCCGAGAAGAAGATGTCGGGCCCGCTCCTGAACCTCGGCGAGGTGCACTCGACCTGGTCGAAGCACGTCAAGCGCTCGCTCTTCCGGCGCAAGAAGGCGGAGGTCCAGGTCAAGGACGACGGGATCTCCTCGGACGTGCCCGCGCTCTACGTCGCCATGAAGGGCGCGAAGGCGGAAGCCGCGTGGGCGAAGACCGTCGAATACCGGGAGAAGAACGCCGTCGACGCCGTCGCGCGCGAGCCGCAGACGTCGTGCGCGGCCGTCAAGAAACTCTACCCGCACTTCCTCCACGGCCGGTCCCCCCAGGGCGACGTCGTCGTCTTCGAGCTCCTGGGCAAGCTCGACACGTCCGTGCTCCGCGCCGGGACCGTCGACCGCAACAAAATCGTCCGCCACTTCGCCTTCGTGCACGAGCACATCTCCGCGGCCTTCGACGGCGAGGAGACGCGCGTCGCGACGGTGCTCGACGCCGGCGGCCTCTCGCGCAGCCACCTGAGCTCCCACTTTTACGCGCTGCTGTCGGCGGCCTCGGAGACGACGGACAATCTCGTGCCCTTCCGCACGCGGCGCGTCGTCGTCGTCAACGCGCCGGCCTTCTTCAAGGTCGTCTTCGCCGCCGTGCGCGCGGTGCTGCCCAAGGCCGTGCGCGACACGGTCGAATTCGTCGGCGAGGCGTCGAAGGCGGCGGTCCTCGCGGACCTCTGCGGGTCGGACCTGCCGCCGGAGTACGGCGGCGACGGGCCCGCGCTCGGGGACCACGTCTTCGAGAAGGACTTCGCCGCGTCCGTCGCGCACACGCTCCTGCCCCCCGCGGCGCCGGAGCCCGAGGCGGCGCGACCGGCGACGTAGCGCGCGCGCGAGTCGCCGGGAGGACCGCCGTCGTCGAGGCCCGCGACGGCGGCGTCGCGGCGACGCGCTCGTACTCGCGCTCGTCTGATAAGATGAGCGACCACAACTTACGAAACCTAGAGCACGACGATGGAGTTGACGAGGGCGCGGACCATCTGGGGGTTGCGGACGTCCGAGAGCTCGCCCGAGTAGACGTTGCGCAGCAGGGGCCGCCAGCAGGCGTCCTTGCGGTTCGGCCGGGGCGTGCAGCCGAGGTCGTAGTGGGCCCAGTCGCCCGCGGCGGCGCAGGCGCCGTCGCGGAGCGCGCAGACGTCCGCGCCGAGCTCCGGCAGGGGCGACACCTCGAGGTCGACGTGGACGGGCTGGAGCATCCAGCACGTCTTGCACTCGTCGCAGTCCGGGACTTTCGCGAGGTCGATGTAGAGCGACTGCGTCGGGTCGCCGTCGCCGCCGACGGCGACGCACGCGGGCGGGCCGCACGGCGCGCCCTCGACGGTGACCTTGAGCTCCGTCTTCCAGTTCGCCGTCGTGATGGGCCGCGGACCCGTCGTCGTCGGCTCGGAGATGAGCACGGCGCAGCGCGCCGCGCGCGAGAAGTCGACGTCGAGCTGGAGCGGGCCGGAGCCGGCGAAGCCCTCGAAGGCCCGCGTCTGGCCGCCGTGGCTGCAGGCCATCTCGTGGGAGAAGCACTCCAGGGACGTCTCGTCGCCGCAGGCCGCGGCGCGGTCCAGGTCGCCGCAGGACGCGTCGTGCTTGCCGCCCCCGACGGCGACGTTGGACCACCTGGGCAGCAAAAGGGTGCGAAATTCCCAACTTGAAAGGCTCCTATCTCGGTCGGTTTCCGCTCGTTTCGGCTGATTTTTGGACGAGCGATCATCTCTCGGAGCGCTCTCGAAGCGTGGGTGCTGATTTCGAAACGCGCGCGCGCGGAACACGCACGTTGAAGCGACGTTGAATCACCCTTTTGCTGCCCTGTGGACCACCGCGTCACCGCGGACGCGTTCGACACCAGATCGCCGACGTCGGGCGCCGCGTGCTTGGGCAGGGACGAGTAGGCGCACTTGGGCCGGCTCAGGTGCTTGTCGCAGAGCGGGCCCGTGCAGATCGCCGCGTGGGGCAGCGGCGACTTGACGTTGCGCGCCTTCGCGGACCGCGCGACGAGCGCCGCGACGTCCGCGGCGACGGTCCGCGACCGGAGCAACCTCAACAGCGTCGTGTTCGCGTACTGGAGGTAGTGGTAGGCGACCTGGTTCCCGACGAGCTCGTGGCCCAGGTGGGACAGGTACTTGCCCCGCTTGTCGTAGAGGCCGCCGCCGACGAACTGGGCCCAGGACTTGTGGCTCGCGTCGAAGCCGTCGTAGGCCGCGCGCGCGTGGAAGCCGTCCGGTTTGTCCGCGTCGATGGGGCAGACCTTGACGTCCTTGTCCTTGCACCTGTCCTTGGAACCGCCGTCGTGGAGCTTCGCCTGGCGGACCTTGCGGAGGTGGTCGTAGGCCGCGCCGAAGCTCGAGAAGAACCTGGGCAGGAAAAGAGAGATTCAATTTCGCTTCAACGTGAGTGTTCCGCGCGCGCGCGTTACGGAAAACACATCCACGCTTCGAGACCGTTCCGAGAGATGATCGCTCGTCCAAAAGCCAGCCGAAACGAGTGGAAAACGGCCGAGATAGGTGCCTTTGAAGTTGGGAATGTCGCTCTCTTTTCCCGCCCCGAGAAGAACGACGTGCTGTAGCGGCGGTACGCGTCGTAGAAGACGCCGCCCTTCTCCACGGCGTGGCGCAGGGAGCTCGCGTTGTCGCCGCCGTCGCTGTCCAGGCTCAGGAACTGGAGCGCCGGCCGCGTCCGCAACCCGAAGACGGTCCGGAGGAAGACCTCCGAAGCCGCGAGTTCGCGGAACGGCACGCGGCTCGCCTGCTTGTTGCGGTTGGTCCTATCCGAAATGTTCACGTTCCAGACGAGGTCCGACCGCTGGCCGGCGTCGAGCCAGCCCAGCGCCTCGGGCAGGCCCTCGCTCATGCCCTTGGGGCTCCACTCGCGGATGACGACGTCGACGTCGGGGCCCAACAGCGCTCCCAGGCAGAACGCGTCCGGGAAGCGGTTCCGCGACGCCGCCGCCGCGGATCTTACTTCAAAATCGACGCCCAGCGACGTGAAGAAGGGCTTCAGCCGCCGCTCGAGCACGCGGGGCCACGCGGCCGACGCCCACCGGCCCTCGCCGGACGTCACGCGGCCGCCCAGGACCGCGATGACGAAGCGCTTCGGCGCCGCGGGCCCCAGCAGCGCCGCGACGATGCGGTCGTGGAGCCCGAAGTCCGTCACGCCGCGGTTCATGCGCCGCGACAGGCGCAGCACGCTCGCGTCGCCGCCGTAGTACGCCGTCAGCGCGTCGAGCGCGGCCTGCGCCTCGCCCGCCGCGCGCTCCGCCGCGGCGCGCGACGCCTCGTCGAGGGCCGCCGCGTCCGCGCCCGCGGCGGCCGCCTCGGCGGGCGGCGGCGGCGCCTCGCCCTCCTCGAGCGGCTCCGCCGCGGGCGGCTCCGCCGCGGCGGGCGCCGCCGGCGGCGCCGCGGCGGCGGACGGGGGCTTCGCGTCGGCGTCCGGGTGCTGGCGGTGCCGCACCCAGTCCGCGACGCGGTTCCCGTGGTGGCTCGGGAGCGCCGGCCGCGCGAGCGCGGCGACGACGAGCCACGCCCAGCGCCAAGGCGCCGCCATCGACGTGGGCTGCCTGCCCTTGACGCTGAAAAAAAATCGATGAGATGCCACACACAAGGGGATCTGTATCTAGACTGGGGTGGGTGCTTCACGGGACTGGGCCACGGGAGCTGTGTCCGTCGTTTCTTTCGAAGCAGCCCATTTTGGGACGGCCGTCCATGGGGCTCCCCGGGGCCGGCGCCTGGCGCGGCGCGTCGCCCCCGGTCCCTGGACGAACCTGGCGAAGCCGCTTCGCTGCGGGCGTCGATGCGGCGACGCACGGGCTGCGTCCGTCTCCTCGAAATCGGTTCTGGCGGTCCACGGTCGCGGCAGGTGCGGGCCTCGTTCCGCTTTTCGCCGTCCGCCCATCCCAACCCCTTCCCCCGGGGCCTCCGCGAAAAAACGGAACGAGGCGACCTATTGCTGGCGCAGCAGACGTTCGGGCTCCGGACCGCGGCGCGGCGCCGGTTCTTGAGAGGAGGCCAGATCAACGACTTCTGACTCTGTGGTCAGACCCGCGCAACCGGAGGCGCGTGGGGTGTCTATGAACGATCTCCGACGCTGAGCTGCGCCCGGGAGCGCCAGAAACGGGTCTGGAGGGGGCCGAACTACCCATTTTACCCCTCAAAACGACTCGTTCTCAGCTCCACGCAATCGGTTTCGCGTCGCGTCTCTTCCGACGGACAGACCTCGTTCGTCCCCCCGAGAGTCGCCTTGGGGGCCATGCACGCTAGGGTCGTCGTGCGGCGCTATGGGGCTGCAAGTGGTGATTTCACGCCCATCGCAGCCCATGAGACGCCCACGGCGCTTTCGTCCGTAGCCACGAAATCTGGAGTAACTTTGGTTTATTGAGCGTCGAACCGGACAGAGCTCGCGCGGCCGTTAATTGTTTAGTTGCATCCCCAGGCTTAACAGCGTTCCCCTTGCCACACAGCAACAACATCAACCACTCGCGCAACGGAAACCTTGTCGAAGGCGAGTTACGTGAGTTCGGGCGGTTTGGAGTCGTGCGGGCAGCATGCGGGGCGGCAAGATCAGAGCTCCCCCCCGCGGCGGCGCGGGCGGCGAGACGGAGCGGCTCGCGGCCGAGGCCCAGCAGATGAGCGACAAGCTCAACGCCCTGCGGGCGCAGATGAGCCGCGAGAAGCAGAAGCGCGAGGCCGCGGAGACGACGCGGGGCGTCGGCGGCGCGCGCTGGGGCAGCTCCGGCGGCGACCGCGGCGGCATCCGCGCCTACGGCCGCGAGGCGCGGGAGAAGGCGGGCGCGACGAACCGGGCGCCCCGGGCCGCGCGGCCCGCGCGGAGCCCCGCGGCCGGCGACCGCGCCGCGGCGGCCGCCGCGGCGCCGCCCAGGGTCTTCGGTGCCTCCAAGGGCTACTGGTCCCGGCCCGTCGCCGAGTGGAGCGTCGCCGACGCGGCGGACTGGCTCGAGACGACGGCGAAGCTGCCCCAGTACGCGGCCGTCTTCGCCGCGAACGACAGGGCAGCAAAAGGGTGCGAAATTCCCAACTTCAAAGGCTCATATCTCGGCCGTTTTCCACTCGTTTCGGCTGATTCTTGGACGAGCGATCATCTCTCGGAATGGTCTCGAAGCGTAGATGCTTTTTCCGGAACGCGCGCGCGCGGAACACTCACGTTGAAGAGACGTTGAATCACCCTTTTGCTGCCCAGGCGAACGAGATCGGCGGCGCGGAGCTCCTCGACCTCGGCCTCGACGACCTCGACTACCTCGAGATCAAGGCCCTGGCCCACCGCAAGAAGCTGTTGAAGGGGGTCGCGGAGCTCAACGTGGCGAACAGGAACGGCCAGGTGCTCCGCGCGCTCAGCCGCGGCGACGACGGCCCGCCGACGGGCCTGGACGGCACGAGCCCGCTCAAGCCCGCGAGCGTGCCCGCCGACGGCCGGGGCCCGTCGCCGCGCAAGGCCCGCGTCGGCGGCGCCCTCGGCGCGCCGGCGCCCAAGGACCCCTTCGCCCCGGGCGACGCCTACGAGGCGCTGCCCCCGAGCCCGCCGCGGTCGCGGCGCGTCGCCGCGGAGGTCGCGCCCGCGAAGCAGCCCCTCCACTGGTCCGCCGCCGCGCCCCTCGCCGAGACCCAGGTCAGCGGCGGCGCCCTGGACGTCAACGGCGGCGACCGCGCGCCCCGGGGCCTCCTCGACGGCGCCGGCGCCGCCGGCGGCTGGAGCAACCCCGCGGACCTCGACGTCGGCGGCGGCTCGTCCCTGCTCCTCGACGAGCAGGCGGAGCAGGAGGCCTTCAAGCGCGCCGTCGAGGAGTGGCGCAGCGGCGGCAAGGAGAACGTCGCCGCGGAGAGCCCCACGAAGCCGGCCTTCGCGCCGGAGCAGTCGCTGCTCAACGGCACGTTCGACGAGGCCGCGGAGCAGCGGTCCTTCAAGGAGGCCGTCATGTCCTGGCGCACGGGCGGCGACTCGCCGCCGAAGCAGGCGCCTCCCGTGGCGCGCGTCGCGTCCGGCGACGGCTCGCCGTCGAAGCTCGGCAAGTCCGCGCGCGAGGTCGCCGAGGACCTCGAGCGGCGCCTCGACGCGCTCCACGCGGCCCAGGCCCGCGACCTCCAGGACCGCAAGGACGCCGCCGCGAAGAAACTCGCGGCGGCGACGCTCGAGGCCGACGAGCCCGCGCCCGCGCCGGACGTCGCGGAGGAGTCCGACGACGACCTCGCGCTCGACCCGGCGGACGCGAGCGACTACGAGGAGGACGACGACGACGAGCCCGTGCTCCACCAGTCGGCCCACGTGTCCCTCGTCGCGTCCCAGCTCGGCGGCTCCGCGGACGCGGAGGACCTCGGCTACGTCGTCGAGGAGGAGGACGACTAGCGCCCGCGCCGCCTCCCCCGCCCCTCTCCTCCCCCAGCTTACTCACGGCGGTATCTCGTCGAGGAAGCCGAGCCGCCGCGCGTCGTCGAGCCGGGCCTCGAGGCGCGCGAGATAGCTCCGCGACACGACGACGTTGTCCGTCTGCTTGTAGCGCATGAAGAGCACGAACGTGACCTCGGACGTCCACGCGGCGGACGCGGGCACGCTGAGGATGAGCGAGATGCCCGTCCAGAGCCAGTCCTGCGACGCGCGGGGCCGTCGCGCGGCGGCGCGGGGCGCCGGGGACGCGGCGGGGCCGCGCCAGCTTGCTCTGGTCGCCGACGAGCAGGCCGCAGGACGTCGAGTTCGTGACGGCGAACAGGATGCAATCGATGGGCGACCGGAGGTCCGCGGCGTAGCGGGCCGTCGCGACGCCGACGCAGAGCATCGCCGCGTAGACGATACTGAGCAGCTTGAGCATCTTGAACTTGTCCCGCGGCCTCGCGTCCTTGGGCGCCTCGGCCGGGGCCATCGCGCGGACCGAGATGATGCGGTTGAGGAGGCCGAGGCCGCCGACGACGACCGCGTTGCCCGCGAGGCAGTAGAAGATGGTGAACAGCTTCGCGAAGGGCGTGTCCGCGTGCCGCGGCGCCGAGCCCAGGTTGTAGCCGATGTTCGTCGAGTAGTAGAAAGCGTAACTAAAGGTCCACGCGTCGTCGTGCGGATGCGCGCCGAAGCGGTGGAAGACGAGCACGCCCAGGAACTGCCAGACGCAGAGGATCGCCAGCACGTCGCTGAACATGCGCCACTCCGCCGTCTCGTTGACGCCGAGCCGCTCGTGGGCCTTCGTTCGCAGCCGGAAGAACTGGTCCTGGAGGCGACCGCACGGGTCGTCGTCGCTCGCGTCGCCGTCGAGCGCATCCGGCAGCAGCAAGTCGCGGCCCGTCGAGGCCTCGGCCATTGCGTCACCCGTCGACGCCGCCTAGGAACCAGAGCTCGAGGGCTGCCCCATAATGGCTTCCGGCCTCAATGATGACTTCAAAGACACATATTTCCAGATCGACTACTTCACTGGAGTCTGAGCGCAATTTTGGGCTGCCTGCTCGAGGAGGTCGCGGCGGCGACGGACGCGCGCTTGCCGACGCCCAGGAGCCCGGACCGCTGCGCGTCACAGTCTGCGCGCACCTCTTGCGGCCGCGGCCGGCGCGGCGCCGATGGCCGAGCCGGTGTCCGAGATCATCATCACCAGCGCGCGGGAGGAGGAGAAGGAGGCGCTCCACGCCCCCGCCGCGCCGCCGTCGGCCTGGGCGCGCACGAAGAAGCGCATCAGCTGGTTCTTCCGCATCGACGAGAGCCAGTTCTGGGTCATCCACGGCTTCTTCCTCCTCGTCTGCGTCCTCTTCGTGCTCCTCTTCCTCCAGTTCCTCGCGGGCGCGGCGCGCGACAAGCGGAAGGACCGGCGGCACCCGGCCGTGACCCTCGGCGAGGAGCGGGCCGTGGGCAACGTCAACTTCCCGCGCGTCGTCATGTGCTCCGAGTACTGGACGGACCCGGGCCTCGACGAGGCGTGGTTCAACGGCACGTCCGCGACGTACTTCGAGGACTGGGAGTACGGCGCGCGGCCACCGGGCGAGCCCACGGAGATCCGCTTCATCAACGCGGCGCAGTACGGGTCCGTGTCCGGCGTCTGCCTCCTGCTCCGGCCGCGGCGCGAGCCCATCGCGTCCGTCCACGACTGGGTGCTGCTCGACCTCCACTTCCGCCCCGACTACGACGAGTTCTGCGTCGAGTGGGCCAACGGCACGCGGCGCCTCGGCGCCAACGCCTCCGACGACGCCGCGACCCGACGGGGCGCGGCCTACGCCGCCGCGGCCCGCAACGCGTCCGCGGCGGCGGGCGAGTGCGCGCGGTACCGCGACGAGCCCATCGCGCAGGAGTTCACGTCCCGCCTCGTGCTCGACGGCGCGAACTCACGGAGCCTCGGCGGCGGCATGCGCGTCCCCTACAACAAGGAGACGGTCGTCTACTACGAGTACGTCAAGAAGGAGACGCTCGGCGGCGGCGTCTCCGAGACGGTGAGCTTCCGCCAGCACTCGAGCGACCTCTACTTCCTCAACAACCCCTACGGGCTGCCGCTGGCCCTCGGCGACGGCGACGCGGCGCTGAACCAGCGCGGGGCGCTCTACCGCGCGCGCGTCTGGTTCAACATCCCCTTCGACTCCGTCGCCGTCGCGTCCGAGGTCCGCGGCGCGAACCCGCTCGCGCCGTTCGTGGTATTCACGACGCTCTTCGCGCTGCTGAGCACGACGCGGTCCATCTTCGAGCTCTTCGTGCACCACGCGCCGCCGCTGCGGCGCCGGTTCCTGCCGCGGCTCCACGACACGGAGGTCGCCCTCGAGAAGGAGGTGGGCCAGATGGACGTCGTGAAGCGCGCCGTCGAGGCCGAGCACGAGGCGTGCCGCCGCCTGTCCACGCTCGTCTCGCACCACCGCGACCGCGAGGGGCCCCACGACCACGAGGGCCTGTCCACGCTCGTCTCGCACCACCGCGACTGCGAGGGGCCCCACGACCACGAGGGCCTCCACGACGACGACTCCGACGACGACTCCGACCACGACCGCCACCGCGCCTAACACGCAAGGCCCGCCCCTGCAGCGTAATAATTTTCCTTTGAGCTTCAACAAGCCCATTGAATATCAACTTGAAGTCTCTTCGCATGATGGAGCGCACTCTCTTCGCATTGCTGCTGCTGCTGCAGGCAGCATGCATTCACGGTCTGGCAGCGAAGAAGGCCGGCGGCTTCGGCGCGGCGGCGCCGCCCAAGAAGAAGGCCGCCGGCATCACCGCGGACAAGCAATCGCTCGAGAAGCAATGGGACCGCTTCGTTTCGATCACGAACCTGGACATCATGCCCAAGGGCGACGACGCGTTCTCCGTCGTCGACGTCTTCGTGCGCAGCGGCAAGGCCGACGGCGCGCCCTGGTGGCGCGTGGGCAAGTGCTGCGCGGGCGCGGGCTACGACGTCGCGGCCGCGCTCGCGCTGCAGCGGGGGCTCATCTTCTGGACCTCCGTGCACATGCGGCCGGAGCTCATGGCTTCCGCCGGCCGCGACGCCGCGGCGGCGCTCGAGCTCGGCTACCGGCGGGCGAGCCTCTACATGGCCGTGCGGGAGGACGGGCCCGAGGAGGAGGACGACGACGACGACGCGAACCCGAAGCTGGCGGGCAAGAGCGCGACGGCGCGGTCCACGCCGCCGAAGATGGTCGGCTTCCGCCCCGACTTCAACCCCGACGGCTTCACCTACAAGCGGCGCGAGACCGCGGCGCTGAAGAAGCCGTCGTCGCGGCTCGAGGCCCAGGGGCTTTTGTAACGTCCGCGGAGACTTACGACGGCACGCACGCCTCGGGGGCGCCCGCGGGGATGGGCGGCCGCGGGCCCGACAGGTCGCGCGGCGGCCCGTCGTCCTCGGCCGCGGTCTCGAGCCGCGCGGCCTTGGCTTTTGCGACGGCCGCGAGGACGGCGGCGACGAGCCGCGGCTCGCGGCGGGGCCCCGGCGGCGTCGCGCGCAGGAGGTCCGGGACGGCGGCGTCGACGTCGGCGGTGACGCGGCGCCAGAGCGCGTGCCGCGACGCGGGCGCGGCCTCCGAGATCTCGAGCGCCTTGACGACGACGTCGACGACGGAGCGGTCCGGCCCGGACCGGTCGAGGAAGACGGCGGCCCTGAAGCCGTCGCAGGGCACGGTCGCGACGTAGTCGCCGCAGCGGTGGAGCGACAGGGACGCGACGGCCGGAAGCGCGCGCGGCAGCGCGAGGACGCCGTCGCCGTCCTCCAAGCGCTTCTCGACCTCCGCGGCGACGTCGACGTCCGCGAGCGTCTTCGGCGCGTAGCGCTCCAGGCAGGCGCCGAGCTGGGCGTCGAGCGTCGCCTTGCGCTGGCCGAGCTTGTCGCACCACAACCTGGGCAGGACAAGAGTGCGAAATTCCCAACTTCAAAGGCTCCTAGCTCGGCCGGTTTCCACTCGTTTCGGCTGATTTTTGAACGAGCGATCATCTCTCGGAACGGTCTCGAAGCGTGGATGCTTTTTCCAGAACGCGCGCGCGCGGAACACTCATGTTGAAGCGACGTTGAATCACTCTTGTCCTGCCCTGACCACAACGGGATCGTCGCCCGGAGGCGGCCGAGGCACGCCGCGTCGGACTCGCCGGGCTTCCGCGCGGCGCGCTCGAGGCCGTCGAGGACGTTCCGCGCGACGGTGGCGTGGTCGGCGAGCGTCTTGTCGACGCCCGCGAGCCACGCGGCGAGCTTGTCCCCGCCCGTCTCGACGGCCCGCAAAGTCGCGAGCGACGGGCCGAGCGCCGCGGCGGCCCCGCCGATCCACCAGCGCAGCACGGGCCCGTGGGCCGCGAGCATCTCGGCGCGGTAGGCGGCCAGGCCCTCGCCCCCGGCCGCGTCGACCCGGGGCTTCTTCGCCGCGGCGGCGGCCGGGGGCTCGGGCGGCCGCGCGCGCTTCGCGGCCGGCGGCCCGGACCCGGGCGTCGGCGCCCGCGGCGGCGGCGTCGGCGTCGCGCGCGGCGGCGCGGGCGACGCGGCGCGCTTCTGCGGCGCCGCGGGCGCCGCGGGCCGCGGCCCCGGCGGCGGCGGCGACGCCGCGCGCGGCTTCGCGGCGCCGGCCGGCTTCGCGGCGGCGAGGACCTTGGCGGCCTTCGCCAGGCGCTTGTCGATCTTCTTCTTGTAGTCCTCCACCGATTTGGCCGCGTCGAAGCACGACGTCTCCATCTTCCGGGCCATGTCGAGCTGGCTCTCCGGCGACACGCTCTGCAGCTCGCCGAGGCGCCGCGCGATGTCGTGGACGCTCGCGCCCCGGGTCTTCAAATCCAAGGCCGGAGGCATGGTCGGCGCGTCGCCGGTGGCCAAGGACGCGGCCTTGGCACCTCGCGCGATGGCCTCGTCGACGCTGAGCACTGCGGCCGACCGCGGCGCCGACGGCGTAGACGGCGGCGGAGTCGACATGTTTGCGCCGGCAGTGCCCGGTCGACCTCAGCGAAGTGGTGACGCCCCAGAAATCTATTCTACTTCGTGCTTCAAAGGGAGTGGGCAGCCTTCCTCGTAGCAATGCTCGGCAATTCCCAGGCTTAGCACCCACCGTCGTCGGGAATTTGATGAAAGCGGCCGCCATGTACGCGACCGTGCCCGCTGCGGAGCCGACGCTCGCGGAGACCTGCGCGGTCCTCAAGCGCGAGCTCGGATTGTCGGGGAGCATCACCGAGGTGATTTCCGGCGCCTGCCGCGCGCTGGGGGTCGACGACACGGGCACGATCGTCGCGCGGGCCGCGAAGTGCCGCGAAGTGCTCGGCCTGGGGACGGGCGGCGACGTCGCGGCTGGCGCCGCGCTCGCGGGAACCGTCGTCGAGGCCGCGCCCGCGGGGACCTTCGTCGGCGCCGAGGCCGGCCCCACGATCGTCGGCGTCGCGGCTCCCGCGGTCGCGGGCACGGTGATTGGTTTCGTGGCGCCGACCGCGCAACCCATCGAACCTTTCGCGGCGCCGGCCGCGTCCGGTCGGACCCATATAGCAAGCGGGGCAGCATTCCTCGTACAAGTAGCACTCCTCAGCGGCCGCCATGCCTCGGCGTTCCTCAGCGGCCGCCATGTACGAGCGTGCTGCGGAGCCGACGCTCACGGAGACCTGCGCGCTCCTCAAGCGCGAGCTCGGATTGTCGGGGAGCATCACCGAGGTGATTTCCGGCGCCTGCCGCGTGCTGGGGGTCGACGACACGGGCACGATCGTCGCGCGGGCGAAGAGGTGCCGCGAAGTGCTCGGCGAGGGGACGGGCGGCGACGTCGCGGCTGGCGCCGCGCTCGCGGGAACCGTCGCCAAGGTCGCGCCCGCGGAAGCGGAATACATGATCCAGGAGGGCGGCGGCGGCCCGGTGACGGCGCAGCCTCAAGCCGTCAAAAGTTACCAGCCCGGCGATCTGAGCGCGCGAGCCGTGAAGGGCTTGTACGTCGGGACGGGTTTCATTCCCATCGTCTGGATGGCCTTTCACGTCACGCCCGTGAGCGACGACGAGTTCGAGGCCTGCGGTTGCGCCGGCCGGCGTGGGACCCGCGCGTCGACCGCAGCGTGACCCTTTCACTCGCCAGGTACCGGGCTTGGTCCCCTCCCGATAAGGACCGCAGGCCTTCCTTGGACCAAAAAGTTCTCCCGCGCGGGCTCGCGGCGGTTCGCCAAGAGGATCGGGATCGGCGGCCTTGAATCCCGCGGCCGCCTTGAATCAGAACAAAGAATATGGGACTTTGACGAGTCGGGCAACTGCTTCTGCGGCAAGAAACGCCCCGCCGATATGGAGAACGCCTCGCCGGTCTGGTGCGCGATCCGCGTGTGCGGCATCTGAGGCGTCCCGCGCGGGCCGCGGCGATGCCGCGGCCGGCAGGCGGTGACCGCGCCTCAGGAGCCCTCGGCTCCGGCGACGAGGGGCATGGTCCGCTCGTGTCCGGCGTCGACGCGACTAAGTTCCTCGGACCGAGCGCGCAGCGCCTGGCAGGGGGCCCGTGCGCAGGCGGCTGCGGTGCACCGTGACTTTGCGGTGCGGCCGTCGAGCAGGCACCATCGGCCCCAACAGCAATGCCGGCCTCAAAATCCATTCGTGCTGCCCGGCTGAAATCGTCGACGTGTCGATTGGGAAAATCGACGGGCTGCCGTCGGCCATGGAGGAGCAGGGGCGCAAGGATGAGCCGCTCTTCTCGGGCACGGGCGAGAGCGTGCGCATCGACGACGAGGACGACAGCGAGGCGCTCTGCGACATCACGCGCGTCCTTCCGGCGCCTCGGACCGGCGGACGGCACCATGAAAGGATTCCCGCGCGCGGCGTAGGTGCGGCGGCGCGACGCCCATCGACGACTACACGGAGATCGAGTGCAAGACCGAGGAGCAGGCCGCGGCGCTCATGGCGGGCCTCACGAGCGAGCAGCACGCGGTCCGCGTCGAGCAGTACGGGAAGAACGAGATCCCGCAAAAGGTCGTGCGGTGGTACACGATCCTGCTCAAGCAGTTCACGAGCAGCATGGCCATCATGATCGAGCTGGCGCTGATCCTGGCCGCCGCCGTCGAGGAGTGGGAGGACTTCGCGATCATCGCGTCGCTGCTCGCGATCAACGCGGCCATCGGGTTCTACGAGGAGTGGGAGGCGATGAAGAAGGTCGACTCCATCAAGAGCGCGCTGAGCCCCATGTGCACCGTGAAGCGCGACGGCGAATTCTCCAAGAGGCTCACCGTGGATCTGGTCCCCGGCGACGTCATCTACCTCCGGGGCGGCGACTCGATCCCCGCGGACGTCGACTACCTCTCGGGCGACGCCATGTCCGTCGACACGGCCGCGCTCACGGGCGAGCCCTTCCCGCGCAAGTGCCCCGACGCCAAGGGCGACCGGCGCTCCATGGCGGGCTGCACGGTCGTCGCCGGCAACACCTACTGCCTCGTGCAGCGCACGGGCATCTTCACGGAGATGGGCTCCGCGACGATGCTCATCCAGCAGTCGACGAAGCCCACGGTCTCCGTCTTCGAGCGGTCCATCATCGAGGTCTGCGAGCTCGTCATGTCCGTCGCCCTGCTCTTCCTCATCGCCGTCTTCGTCGTGCTCTACGAGCGCGGGACGGGGACGACGGAGACGCTGACCGCGTGCCTCGCGATCCTCATCGCGGCCGTGCCCGTGGCGCTGCCCGTCGTCATGCAGGTGACCCTCGCTTTGGGCGCCGGCGAGATGGCCAAGCAGCAGGCCATCGTGACGCACCTCACGGCCATGCAGGAGATCGCGTCGATGACGATGCTCTGCAGCGACAAGACGGGCACGCTGACGACGGCGAAGATCAACGTCTTCTTCGACCAGATCTGGTGCGCGCCGGGCTACACCAAGGAGCAGATTCTCGAGTGGGCCTCCGTGGCGTCGAACCCGCACACGGACGACGACCCCATCGACGTGGCCGTCCTCCGGTCCTTCAAGGAGTCGTTCCCGGGCGACTTCGACGACCGCATCAAGCGGTTCACGGTGACGAAATTCGTCGGCTTCAACGCCGAGGTGAAGCGCACCGTGGCCTACGCGACGCACACCGTCGACGGCGACCTCAAGCTCTCCAAGGGCTTGATCGACAAGGTGCTCGAGACGGGCCAGGACGGCGGCGACGAGTTCGCGTGCTCCAACGGCGCGGCGCTGCGCCCGGAGATCGAGGAGATCGACGAGGCCCTGTCCAAGTCGGGCTACAAGACGCTGGGCGTCGCCGTGGGCCGCGCGCAGGCCGACGGGTCCTGGGCCATGGAGTTCGCGGGCATCATCCCGATGCTCGACCCGCCGCGCGACGACACCAAGTGGGTCATCGAGCAGATCAAGGCCTGCGGCATCGCCGTGAAGATGATCACGGGCGACCACCAGAACATCGCCGCGGAGACGGCGCGCCTCATCGGCCTCGGCGACGGCATCCTGCGCCGGGACCGGCTCGCGATGCGCGAGAGCGACGAGAAGGACATGCTCGTCCGCGACGCGGACGGCTTCGCGCAGGTCATGCCCAAGGACAAGAACGACGTCGTGCGCGTGCTCCAGGCTTTAAACTACGTCGTGGGCATGACGGGCGACGGCGTCAACGACGCGCCGGCGCTGAAGCAGGCGCACATCGGCATCGCCGTCGAAGGTTCGACGGACGCGGCGCGGAACGCCGCGGACATCGTGCTGACGACGGAGGGCCTCGCGCCCATCTTCACGGCGGTCCTCGAGTCGCGCAAGATCTTCCAGCGCGTCTACTCCTACGTGCTCTACCGCATCTCCGCGACGATCCAGATCGTGCTCGTCAGGGCAGCAAAAGAGAGCGAAATTCCCAACTTCAAAGGCTCATTTCTCGGCCGTTTTCCACTCGTTTTGGCTGATTTTTGGACGAGCGATCGTCTCTCGGAACGGTCTCGAAGCGTGGATGCTTTTCCCGGAACGCGCGCGCGCGGAACACTGACGTTGAAGCGACGTTGAATCACCCTTTTGCTGCCCAGGTGCTCGTGCTGTCGCTGCTCATCTTCATCTGGAACCAGACGATCAAGCCGCTCTACATCATCCTCCTGGCGCTCTTCAACGACCTGACGATGATCACGATCTCCTACGACAACGTCATCCCGAGCCGCTCGCCGGAGCAGCCGACGATCGCGCGGCTCCTCCGCATGACGTGCTGCTTCGGGTCGTTGATGACCTTCGAGAGCCTCCTCTTCTACGTCATGGGCAAGTACACGAACGCCTTCAACGACCAGTTCAAGCACAACTCGGACTACCGCCAGTCCATGGTCTACCTCCAGATCAGCGTGGCCATCGAGTCCATGATCTTCATCACGCGCGTGCCCGACGGGGCAGCAAAAGAGAGCGAACTTCCCAACTTCAAAGGCTCCTTTCTCGGCCGTTTTCCACTCGTTTCGGCTGATTTTTGAACGAGCGATCATCTCTCGGAACGGCCTCGAAGCGCGGATGCTTTTTCCGGAACGCGCGCGCGCGGAACACTCACGTTGAAGCGACGTTGAATCGCCCTTTTGCTGCCCAGGTGCCCGAGGCGCCGTTCTACTCGTCGAAGCCCATCCGGTCCCTCGTGCTCTCCGTCGTCGCGGCGAACGTCATCGTGACCATCCTCTGCATGACGGGCGCGCTGGGCGACAACATCGCCGTCAAGGACGCGGCCCTGGTCTGGCTCTACGACACGGTCTGGTTCTTCATCATCGACGTGCTGAAGATCCCGCTGACGATGACCGTGGAGAACTACTTCCCGCCGCCGCCGTCGAACCTGGGCAAGCGCACGGCCGAGGCGACGGCGGCGGTCAACGGCGAGCCCCACCCGGGCCTCAACTTCGGCTTCGTGGACATCGGCTACACGTACGTGTCGGACGCGCTCGCGTCCGCGTCCAACGCCGTCACGGGCTGCGTCCACCCGCACGCGCCCCAGGGCGGCTCCTCCGCCAACGTCATGGCGGCCGCGTCGTCGAGCCTCCACAAGGAGGAGACCAAGAGCGGGCCGGGCATCGTCTAGGCCGCGGCCCCCGCGGCCGCGCCCGCCCCCCCCCATCACCCCCGCCGTCGTCGCACCCCTCCGACTAACCACGTATTCGCCGCGCCGCTTTAGTCGCCGAGGCACACGCCCTTCCGGTAGGCGCGGTAGTACGTCTGCGCCTCGGACGCGTCCCGGTCGCAGCCCTGGCCCTCGTCGAGCATGTCCGCGAGGTTCGCCTGCGCCTTGACGTCGCCGGCGTGGACCGCCTTGCGGTACCAGCGGAAGGCCTCGTCGTAGTTGACGTCGCCGCCGACGCCCCGCAGGTAGCAGCCAGCGACGTAGCGCATGGCCGTCGGGTCGCCCATCATCGCGGCCTTGAGGAAGCAGCGCCGCGCGGCCCTGTCGTCCCGCTCCTTGCCCCGCCCCGTCTCGTAGGCGCAGCCCAGGAGGCGCACGCTCTTCGCGTCCTTGGCGTCCGCGGCCCAGTGCTCCGCCGCCGTCTCCTCGGTCCAGACCTTGTCCTTCTTCGCGCCCATGAGCCAGGACGTCAGGGCGATGGCGAGCTGGTTCTTGATGGCCATCTTCTTCGTGTTCCGGAGTTCGATGGCGAGGTCCTTCGTCGCCTGCATGCCCAGCTCCGCCGTGAGCTGCGACATGGCGCCGCCGACGTTCCCGATGCCCTCCTCGGGGCGCTCCCTCCGCGGTGCCATCGTCCCGTGATTGTCCAAAGACAACGGACCTCGGGCAGCCCGGCAACATGAACCCGTTGCCCTGGCATCAAAGCCACACATCTCGCAGGCTGCCCATGATGGAGCCGCCCTCGGCGCCACCGGCCTACGACGCGCCCCCTCCCGTGCCGCCGGCCTACGATGCGAACCCCCTGGTGCCGACCATGTCCATCGGCGACGCGCCGCAGGCCACGGTCGTCGCCATCCACGGCAACCCGGAGGCGGCGACCATCGCCGCGGGCATGCCCGTCGTCGTCGGCGTCGCGGACATCGCGGACGTCGGCGCCGCCGACGAGCCGCCCGTCGCCGTCGTGACGGCGTGCACGACGACCACGGGCGCCTACTACACGCCGGAGCAGCTCGCGATCATGAACGAGTGGGCGCCGCCCGCGGACCGCCCCAACGTCGAGGACGGCCCCATCGTGCTCGCGCCCGTCGTCGGCGTCGAGCCGCCGGCGGTGCCCGCGGGCGTCGTCGTCGGCGTCGAGCCGGCGGGCCTCGCGCCGCAGCTCACGGCCGCGGCGCCCTTCGTGACGGCGAGCGGCGTGCCGATGGTGCCGCCCGCCGCCGCGCGGTCGCCCGCGGAGACGCACTCCGACGGCTGGCAGGGCGTCAAGTCCTGCGACGAATGTTTGGACACCGTCGACGCGCTCCTCCTCTTCCTCCAGACTGCACAACACGCGTCCCCAGGTGGGCGTGAACGTCGAGGGCTACCACATGGAGAAGCGGACGCGCACGGTCCGCGATTCCGAGGGCCGCGAGCGCCGCGAGACCTACGAGGTCAAGGTCACGGACTTCGAGTACACGGTGGACGTGACGAACTTCTGCTTCCCCATGGGCTACATCCAGTCCGACGAGGCCGCGGCGGGCAAGGACCTCGACGGCGACGGCGTCGTCGAGTCCGTGGCCGACATCTGCGACGGCTACCTCAAGGACGAGAACCTGCTGGCGACGCTGGTCATGGAGAAGCGCATCAAGGGCTTCAACTTCGACGAGCTGTGCCACTACGTGCGGCGCCACATCCGCTACCTCGGCTGGAACCGGCGGCTCAGCGTCTCGACGTCCGTGAACAACCGCATCGTCCGCGTCTACAAGGAGAACGCGTGCTCGTCGCTCTGGGAGAACATGTGCTGCTTCGTGCTCATGCACGTGACCATTCTGCCCTGCATGTTCTTCCGCTGCTACCGCGACTGCGGCGGGCACCGCGCCACGGGCATCTCGTCCATCTTCCGCATGTCCAACGGCGTCACCGACTACGAGCCGCTCCAGGTCTTCGACGTCGTCCGCCCCGCGCTCTGGTGCACGGGCTGGCGCAACGCGCACTTCGCGCAGATGCTCCTGCACCAGCAGGTGCGCTGGAGCTAGGGGACCCGCGGCGGGGCCGACGTTCACGGCCGCGCGCCGCCCTGTGTAACTAGGGCGAGCCACGGGCAAAGCTTCGCGGCTTCGCAAAGTACTTCGCAACTTGAAGGTCAACTTGAAGGGCAATCACCCGCAGCTCTTATCTCGAGCTGCGCCGCCTGCTGCGCCGCTCAGCCGCAGTGCTGTGCTGACGCTCTGCCCATCGATGCGCCTCCTGCTCGCGCCGCTGCTGTGGTGCAGCAGCCATGCCCTCGTGGCACCGCGAACGACGCTGCCAAAGCAGCGACTGCTCGGAGACGCCGTCGCCAAGATCGGGAGCTGCGACGAGCTCGACGCGCTCGTCGCCGAGCACGCCGGCTCCAAGAGCATCGTCGTCGACTTCAGCAACACGTTCTGCGGGCCCTGCAAGATCATGTATCCCAAGTTCGAGGCGCTGAGCGAGCGGTTCGCGGCCGGCGCGCTCTTCTATTCCTGCTCGCTCGACGAGAGCGCGGAGGCGTCGACGCTGGGGAAGCGCGAAGCGGTGCAGATCGTGCCCTCGTTTATCATCTGGAAGGACGGCGCGCGCCTCGAGGCCGTCGAGGGCCTCAAACCCGATCTCCTCGTCGCGGCCGTGAGCCGCGCGGCGGAGACGTCGTTCTGGGCCGCGCCGCTGGGCCGGGCCCGGCGCAAGGTCGCCAAGTTCGGCCTGCTCGGCGCGTTCCGGAAGCTGCTCCGCAACGGCCGGCGCCGGCTCGTCCGGGCGTTCCGCCGCTAGTTTTCTCCTCGTCGCTCGTTCGAACCTTACGTACTCCCGCTAGAGCGCGCCGCAGTCGACGATCTTGACGGCCTTGGACGTCATGCCGTTCGCGGAGCCCACGTCAGTCATCTTCGCGACGGTGTCGCCCCCGGCCGTGATCTTGCCGAAGACGACGTGCTTGCCGTTGAGCCAGGGCGTGTCGTCGACGCAGATGAAGAATTGCGAGCCGTTGGAGTTCGGGCCCGCGTTCGCCATGGACAGCGTGCCGAAGCCGTTGTGCACGAGGTCGAAGTTCTCGTCGTCGAACTTGCCGCCCCAGATGGACTTGCCGCCGCGGCCGTCGCCGGACGTGAAGTCGCCGCCCTGGCACATGAAGCCGGGGATGATGCGATGGAACTTGCTGCCCTTGTAGCCGAAGCCGGGCTCGCCGGTGCAGAGCTTCTTGAAGTTCTCGACGGTCTTTGGCACCGTCGACCCGTAGAGGCCGAACTCGACGCGCTCGGCCGCGCCGTCGCCGATGGAGATGTCGAAGAACACCGTGTCCGTGACCTCGGCGTCCTTCTGCCCGAAGACGCCGTCGAGCAGGCCGCCGATCATCTTCAGGTTCTGCGACGGCGGCGAGCGGCGCGCCGTCGGCGCCGGCAGGCCCCGGCGCTTCGACGCGAAGGCATCGGTCCGGGCGGCGGCGACGAGGAGGAGCGCGATCGCGGACTTCATCGTGCAGCGGTGTCGAGAGCTTGCGGCGGCGAGCGCGACGTCGAGAGCACCGGCGGCGGGCAGCGAGAGACACAGCGAGAACAGCGTTCGAGAGCACCGGCGGCAAGAGCTCAACCACTCGAGCTCGATGCTAGCACGAGCGCCGCTCGCCGAGGTCGGCGATGAACGGTGCCGTGCCGTTCGACACAACTCGGCACCGACTTGCCCAGACGCAGCCCCGCGCCTCGAGCGTCGATCCTGCGAACAAAGGCAGCCCCCGAACGACATGAGCTCGTGGCGCGAGGCGGCGGGGCGGGAGGGCGACGACGCCTACAAGTTCGGCGACCTGTCGCGCAGCCTCCTGCGCAAGACGTCGGCCATCGCCCAGGCGACGAAGGAGACGGGCTCGCGCGCCGTCCAGCGGGCGTCGGACACCTTCAGCCACGAGGACCGGCCGGCGTCGACGCTGACCTGGAAGGAGTCCGCGGGCCGCGACGACGGCGACGACGCCTACGCGTTCGGCGACCTGTCGCGGACGGTCGTCAAGAAAATCGGCGGCGGAGAGGCCGCGCGCGCGAGCCGCCTCGACGCGATCTTCGCCGCGGGCCGCGACACGGACGCCGTGCGCCGCGCCATCGGCGGCTGCCTCGCCGCCGAGGCGCCCGCGGCCTTCATCGCCGCGACGCTCCGGCGGCGGGCCGTGCTCCGGACCGTCGTCGACTGCGCCGCCGCGGCTTCGCTGACGCTCGTCGCCGCGCGCGTGCTCGCGGAGCGCGACGACGCCGCCGCGGCCGTCGACGCCGTCGACGCCGACGCCCTGCGCCTGGCCACGACGTTGGCCGCGGCGGCCTGCGCGGGCACGGCCGCGCGCGTCGCCCCGCGGCGCGCGTGCCCGCTCGACTGGCTCCGCGCGCGCGCGGACGCCGGGTCGTCGTGGGTGCTCCCGGACACCGAGTCGGCCGCCGAGTCGCACGCGCCGGCGAAGATCGACGCGCTGGTCGTGCCCCGGAAGGACGCGCTCGAGCTCGTGAAGCTGTGCGTCGACCGCGACCTGCTTGCGAAGGGCGCCGTCGTCGTCTTCGCGCTCGACGACGCGCGGCCCGGGGAGTACGAGGCGCTCGTCGACAAGCTGGGCCTCCACCTCGCCTTCGACGACGAGACGCTCGAGGCGGCGAACTACGACGACCGCGACGCGAGCGCGCCCGCGGAGACCGTCTCCCTCCGCGCCGCGTCCTACCGCGGCAAGCGGTCCGACTCCTACGCGTGAGCTTTTTTTTGGCGCGGCCCTTTGTACAAACATCTTACAGTTCTAAATGGAAATGGGAGTCGGTGGCTACCCACGTGCCCTCCGGTCGTTTGCCGGACGCGAGGTCGCGGCGCAGCTCGTCGGCGAGGACCAGCGCGTCGGCGCACGCGTCGTCGTCGTCGGCGCAGTCGCGCCGGAGGCGATCGAGCGCCGGGGGGATGTGCGTGCGACGGCAGCCCGCGGCGTCGCCGTCGAGGAAGCCCGCGGCTAAAGCGATCTTCAGCGCCTGGAGCGCTTTGTCCGCGAAGCTCCCCTCGAGGGCGGCGCTGGCGGCGTAGCACAGCCGCGGACCCGCCTCTCGCGTCGCGTTCGGCCAGAGCGGGCTCGGCGGCCTCGCGTCGTGCTTCAGGCCGTCGTACTCGGTCCTCCCGCTGGCCTCGGCGCGGCGCGCGGCTAGAAATTCGTGGAGCAGATCCGCCGCCAGCACCAGCGCTTTGCGCGCGACTTTCGGCGGTCCCGCGAGCGCCGCAAGCACGGCCTCCGCGTGCGATCGCTCGGAGTACAATCTCCATTGAGCTTCGGGGCAGCAGCGCAGCAGCGCCGACGCGGCGAAGAGCGCCTTCGCGCGGGCCGCGTCGTCCGCGTCGCCTCCGACGACGTCCATGAGCGGCGCGAGCGCGCCCAACGCGCGGAGCTGCAGCTCGCGCTGATTCGCCGCGGCGGTGCCGACGACCCAGGCCGCCGCGGACCGCAGGCGCGGCTCCGCGAGACACTCGATGGCCACGTCGAAGTCCATGCGTCGCGCGTCGTCGACGTCCTCGACCTTCTCCTGGAGCTCGAGCAGCGACTCAAGCCGCGCCTCCGAGGACTGCGTCGCGTCGCCGGCGACGGCCAGCAGCCGAGCAATCGGATCGCGTTCTGTTGCGGACGTGCTGTTGAGCCAGTCGACTGCCTGGCATTGCAGCGCGAGCGCGAGGAGCACGACTCGTGATGGCATTAGCTGGCAGTGGAGCTCATGAGATGAGCCTATGCCGGCGCCGCAGGAGATCTCCAGGCATCAACACTGCTGCGGCGGAGCTCATTTATAAACGAGGCGAGCCAAGCCGAGCGTCAACATCGGCATCAACATTTGATGCAACATTGGCTGCCCCGACTCGCGATGGGCGACCTCCTACCATGATCGTGTGCTGCATCGACACGAACCGCGCGCACGTCGTCCCCGGCGCCGCGACCGCGCCGCTGGAGACGCTCGCCGAGTCCGCCGACGAGGTCTGCGACGCGAGCCGCGCCCGCATCGACGACGCGGCCCTGGCCTTCGAGGACGAGGCCGGCTGCGTGCTGCGCGGCGCCGCGGCCATGGCGGCGCTCGAGCGGCGCTGCCGGTTCCGCTACGTCGAGACGCTCGCCTTCCTGCACGAGCGGCACCTGCGCCAGCGGCACCTGCTGCTCACGCCGGCCGCGCCGTCGCCCGAGGCGCTCTTCGGCGGCGACTTCGATGCGACGCCCGCGCTCGTCGTGCGGCCGACGCCGCCCCTGGGGCTCGGCGTCTTCGCCGGCGAGGCCATCGCGCCGGGCGCGCTCGTCGCCGAGTACGCGGCCGTCGCGCGGCCGCCGGACGGCGGCACGGCGCGCGCCTTCGACGGCTACGGCCTCCACTACGGCGAGAGCCTCGGCGGCGAGAGCCTGGACCTGAGCGCGCTCCACTACGGCAACGTCGGGCGCTTCTTCAACCACGACGCCGAGCTCCAGAACGCGGACCTCGTCGGGTGCGCCGCGGACGGCGGGCTCTTCCGCGTCGTCGTCGTGAGCCTCCGCGCGATCCCCGAGGGCGACCAGGTCCTCGTCGACTACGGCCGGGCCTACTGGGCGGGCGCGCCCTTCGACCCCGTGCCCGCGGTCGTGCGATAAGCGCCTTACTACTAGCTCGGCTCGTCGTCGCCGTCCGCCGCGCGCGGCGCGTCGTCGTGGCCGCCGCCGTCCGCGGGCGCGGCGAGCTTCGGCGCGTTGCGCGCGCGGCCCGCCGCCGAGTCCTCGTCCGGGAGCGTCGACTTGACGCCGCCGAGGAGCTCCGTGCGCTTGGGCTTGTCGTAGGCCGGGTCCGCGAGGGCTTTTTGGGCCCGCGAGGCCGCGAGCGCGAGCGCGTCGACGAAATTCGGGAGGATGTCGGAGAAGAGCCGCTCGGAGATGAGCAGCACGGTGTCGAGCGTGCGCAGGAGCAGGTCGCCGGCCGTCGGCTCCTCGTCGACGGCCTCGGTCGCCGCGTCCGCGGCCTCGATGACGAGGCCGTCGCCGCCGTCGAGCCGCGCCGCCGACGCCTCCGCGCCGGGCACGGCCGCGCCGGACTCGTCGAGCACGGCCCCGGGCGCCTCGGCCGCCGCGCCGGGGCCCGCGGCGTCGTCGTCGACGACGACGACGACGCTCTCGGCGACGACGGTCTCCAGGTCGTCCTCGAAGTCGTCGTCGTCGTCGTCGTCGTCGACGGCCGCGAGGATCTCGTCGAGGCTCGGGATCGCCTCGTCGTCGACCTCGACGGTCGGCGCGGCGGCGACGGCCTCGGCCTTGCGCCGCGCGGCGGCCTCGAGCGCGTCGACGGCCGCCGCGGCCGCGTCCGCCGGCGGCGCGCGCGCGGCCCGCGCGGCCGCGTCCTCCGGCACGGCCGCCTGGCGCGCCGCCGCCGCGAGCCGCGCCTGCTCGACGATGCGCGCCGCCTCCTCCTCGCGCCGCGCGTTCTCCGCGCGCGCGAGCGCGTCCTCCTCGGCACGCTTCCGCTCCGCCTCCGCTATCGCGCGCGCGGCCTCGGCCTCGGCCTCGGCGGCGGCGCGCGCCGCCGCTTCCTCTTCGGCGACGCGCGCCGCCTCGGCCTCCGCCTCCGCGGCGACGCGCGCCGCCTCCGCCTCCGCGGCGACGCGCGCGGCCTCGGCCTCCGCGACGACGCGCGCGGCCTCGGCCTCGGCCTCGGCCTCGGCCGCCGCCCGCGCCTCGTCCTCGGCGGCCCGCGCGGCCGCCTCCGCCGCGAGGCGCGCGTTCTCCTCGTCGACGAGCGCCCGCTCCTCCGGCGACAGGGGCCGCTCCGTGACGCCCTCGGCCGCGAGGGCCGCGTCGAGCGCCGCCTCCTTGGCGAGTCGCTCCTCGACGTCGAGAATGCTCCGGAGCGCGGCCGCGAAGCGCTCGGCCCGCTCCGGCGTCACGATGGGCACGACCTCGGCGAAGGCCGACGCGATGGCGAGGCGCCGCAGCCGCAGGACCTCGGCCGCGTCCGCGTTGAACGTGGCCGCGAACGTCATCTCCCGATCGCCCAGAAACGCCGCCACGCTCGCGAGCTGGGCGCCCAGGGTCGCGGCGCGCTCGTCGTCGTCGACGGCGAGCCAGTCGGCCGCCGCGGCGTCGAGCGCCGCGGCGGCCGCCTCGACCGCGGCCCTGACCTTCGGCCGCAAATTCGACGGCGCCTCCGGCGCGACGACGACCTCCTCCTCGACGACGACCTCCGCCTCGACGACCTCCTCCGCCTCCTCGACGACGACCGCCGTGGGATCCACGCCCGCGCGCCGCTCCCGCGTCGCGCGCTCGCCGTCCTCGGGCGTGTAGGCCCGGAGCTCCGAGGCCGCGCCTTTCAAGGCGTCGAGGAACGACCCCGCGGCCGACGGCGCGGCGTCCTCGGCGGCGTCGTCGACGGCGTCCGCGACGGCGGCGGCGGGCAGCGCCGTCGCCCTGGGCAGCGCCGCCCGGGGCGCCGGCGGCGCGTCGTCCTTTTGCGGCAAGGCCCGAAGCACGGACTCGCCGCTCACCAATCTTCTCCGCTCGCGCGACACGTCGTCGAGCTTGGGCGCGATGGCCGGGAAGGCGTCGGCGACGCGGTCCCCCGGCCGCCGCTCCCGCGCCTCGCGCTTCGCCTCGTAGACGACGTCGGCCACCGAGCTCTGCATCTTGAGCAGCTTCACGGGCCCGGGCGCGGCCTTGCCCCGCTTCTTCTCGACGGCCGCGAGGAGCTTCGCCTCGCGCGTCTCCGTCGGCGCGAGCTGCTTCAGGGCCCGCGGCTTCAACAAGCTCGTCGGGTCCACGCCCGCGGACAGGAGCGCGACGGCGTCGCCGAGGCTCACGTTCTTGGACGCGACGTCTTCGGCCGCCGCGAGCAGGCGGCTCGACTCGTAGGAGACGCGCCGCTTCGCGTACTCGACGACGGCCTGGACGATGGCCTTGCTCTTCGCGGCCTCCGTCTCGAACCAGATGCTCGCGGAGTCGAGCGCGACCTGCGCTTTCAGGAGCGCCGCGCTCACGGTGCGCAGCGTCGACGACGCGTACGTGCCGTCGGCCGCCGCCCTGTAGGCGTCTTCATCAATACCAAAAGCCTTGAGCACGCGGGCGTCGACGGCGTCGTCCGGCGTCTCCGGCGCGTCGTCGTCGTCGGAGACCGAGGCGAAGGCCGACTCGACCACGGCGTCGACGACGGTCTTCGTCTCCGCGTCGACGACCGTGTCCTCGTCGACGGCGCGCGGGGGGCGCGCGACGCGCAGCGGCGGCGCGCGCGGCGCGAGGAACGCGGTCGACACGCACAGCAGTGCGAGGGGATGCGCACGCATCGGAAGCTCAAGGCCGATCCTCCATGCTCGCCGTCGTTCACGGCAAGGTGCTTCGCATCGATGCATCGTGCGGTTTCGGAGATGCTCCTCTCCGGAATGGCAGCCCCGCCGCCGTAAGGAGCTCCCGCACGATGCCCCGCTCGACGTCGCCGGACTGGCTCCAGGACCTGAGCCTGAGCGCGCAGAAACTGCGCCGGAGCGACGACCTGGACCTCGACAAAATCTACGAAGACGTCAAGATCAGCAGCCCCTCGAAGAAGCTCCCGGAGCTCGCCTCCGTCGACGCGCCGCCGCCGACGCCGCCCCCGCCGCCGGTGACGCGCGACGGCGCGCTCTTCGAGCGCGCGGCGGCGCTCGCCGCGTCCGTCGACGGCGCGGCGGCGGACGCCTCCCCGGAGAGGCGGCCCCGCGTCAGTTGGGACGGCACGCCGAAGCGCGGGAGCGCGCGGGAGCGCGACGAGCCGCGCACGCCGCCCCGGCGCGACGCCGACGAGGAGCCCGCGACCGTGCTGCCGGCCGCGGCGATCCTCGCGGCCTACGCGGCGCCCGGGGACGGCGCGACGGCCGCGGACTTCGCCGCCGCGGCGCGCGCGGCGATCCTCGGCGCGCTCCGGTCGGACGCGGCGCCGACGCCGCTCTACGCGCGTCGCAACCACTCGCAGGCCGTCGACTTCCCGCACCGGCCCAAGCCCTCGCGCGACTGGTCGCCGGAGCGCGCGAAGCGCGTCGCGGCGGAGGAGGCGGCGGCGTGGCAGGCGTACTGGGCCGTGCTCAACGAGAACAAGCTCATCAGGCTGTCGTGGAGCTTCGCGCCCCCCGACCTGACGGCGCGCGCGAACGGGCCGCCGCCGCCCGTGCCCGGCCTCGAGGCGTTCTACGCCTTCTGCGCGCTCGGCGCGCGCCGCGGGGGGCTCTTCGAGGCCGGCGCCCATGCCCCGGGCCGCACCGCGGAGGTCGTCGCGGCGTCGCCCGACCTCATGCGGCTCGTTTGGGCCTTTTACAACTTCCGGACGCCGCGGCCCTCCACTATGCCGAGGTCCGTGCACCGCAACGGCGTCGAGGTCGCCAACGACTACGGCACGGAGCCCTACAGCGGCTGCGCGTACCACCCGTACTGCACGCGCGACTGCGAGTGCCTCGCGGGCGACTGCCTGTTGCGCCTCCGCGACGGCTCGCGGAGGCGCATGGACGCTTTGGCGGTCGGCGACCACGTGGCGACGGGCGCCGGCGGGCATCGCCGCGTGGTGAAGCTCTGGCCCGCGGCGGTCGATGCCGTCGCCGTCGTCGAGGTCGCGGCCAGGGCAGCACAAGAGAGCGAAATTCCCAACTTCAAAGGCTCCTTTCTCGGCCATTTTCCACTCGTTTCGGCTGATTTTTGGACGAGCGATCATCTCTCGGAACGGTCTCGAAGCGTGGATGCCGTTTTTGGAACGCGCGCGCGCGGAACACGCACGTTGAAGAGACGTTGAATCACCCTTGTGCTGCCCAGGTCGCGGCGGGCTGCTTCCTGACGCCGAACCACCCCGTGCGCTTTGGCGGCGCGTGGCGCCGCGCGGGCGAGCTCGGCGCGGTCGAGGACCGGGGCCCCGGCGTCGTCTACGGCCTCGAGCTCGAGGGCCACGTCGACACGGTCCTCGTGGGAGACGGCGCGGTCGTCGCGGCCGTCGGCGTCTACTGCGGGCCGGCCTTCGGCTGGAACGTGTTCACGCGCAAGTCCGCGCGCTGCGACCGGCTCCGGTGCGCCGCCTGCGACGTCTGCGTCGACGCCGCGCTCGACTTCTCCAAGGTCGCGCCCGCGGACCTCGACGTCGAGTACGCGCCCTACGTCGCCGACGACGACGACGACGACGACGTCGGCTTCGTCGACCATCGCCCCGCGATGATCGCGGTCGGCTAAGACTCGCGGTGTTTGGTGGTGCCCCCGTTCTTCGAGGGCGCCAAAGCGAAGCAGAGTCGTAGTGGTGTTTAGGAGGGGAGACGAAGCGAGGAAGGTCGGTCCGAGAAGCCGCGCGGACGGGGCTTTATTATGCCCCGTTTAGAGGGCCTCGTCCGACTTCCTGACGAGGTCCGTGAGGGCCATGTCGGACTCGCCCTTGTTGCGCACGTAGCCGCTGAGCGCGTAGGTCTTGTACGTGTTCGTGTAGAGGCCCGTGTTCGCGTCGATCGAGCCGACGTTGATCTGCACGGACGCCTTGTCGAAGGCCTCGATGAGGCGGTTCGTCCAGCTGCACTTGCGCGGGATGTAGAGGTCGACGGGCTGGCCCTGATCGTTCTGCGAGGGGAGGGGGGGGGGGTTGGGGTTCGCGCGGCGCGAGACGGTCGCGCGACGAGCGCGGCGAACGTCCGACCGCGCGTCCCCGGCGAAGCGGGGAGCCGCGCAACGCCGCGCCGCATCGCCGCGGAGATGCTGTGCGTGTCTGCCACGCGTCGGCGGCGCCGCGGGAGAGGCGCCCGTCCGTCGAGGACCGCCGCGCACCCGTAGATGCTGCGGCGACCGCTCTCCGCGGAAACGTCCTCCAGCGGCGTCGTTTTTTCGTGGTTTTGACGCGCGCAGCGTCTCCGCAGCTTAGTGGCACGGCGCGGCGTTTGGAGGGCGGATTTGGGCGCGCGTGGGCGCGTCTGGACGCCGCTTGGCGAACCTGCATGATGTCTCGAGTTTTGGGCGACCGGCGAGCCGAGAGAGAGAGAGAGATTATCATTTGTCCGGAGCAAGCTCTCAGAGCAGCTATGGCAGGCTCGCCAATGATCCGCCTTGCCAGCCTCGTCGCGCTCGTCGCACCGGCAATCCAGTCCTTGGTCATCCTCGGCGACGACTACGACCCGGCCTGGCTCAACGACCGCTGCACGTCGATCATCGTCGGCGCCGACGCCACGGGCGACGGCGGCCCAACAACCAGCCACACGAACGACTGCAACGCCTGCGACTTCCGCCTCAGCAAGGTCGAAGCGAAGACCGTGGACCCGGAGGGCGACCGGCCCGTCTACCGCTACCGCGCCGAGTACCCGCGCTTCGTCGGCGACGCCAAGGGCTCGACGTACGCCGCGGCCGCGCTCAAGGACTACTACCCCTGGAAGGAAAATAAGGGCGACTTCGCGCCGCTGGGCACGATCCCCTGGGGCACGAGCCGCACGAACGCTTATGTCGATGGCGCCTACGCGATGATGAACGAGCACCAGCTCGCGATCGGCGAATCGACGTGCGGCGCGCGGATTACCGCGTTGCCCGTGAGCGAGGGCGGCCTCGCGCTCCTCGACGCCCGCGAGCTGTCGACCATCGCCCTGGAGCGCTGCGCGACGGCGAAGTGCGCCGTCGAGCTCATGGGCGCGCTCGCCGAGGAGTACGGCTACTACGGCGCCGATTCGACGGCCGGAGAAGCGGGAGAGGCCCTCACCGTCGTAGACACGGAGCACGCCTGGGTCTTCCACATCCTCGCCGACGACACGGGCGCGTCGGCCGTCTGGGCCGCGCGGCGCGTGCCGCCGGGCGACGTCGCGGTCGTCGCGAACCAGTTCGTGATCACGACGTTGCCCGAGGAAGAAAAGGGCGACTGGTGGCTCGCGTCCGACAACGTCCGGACCGTCGCGGCCAAGGTCGGCCTCTGGGACGGCGCGGCCGACTTCAACTTCCTCGAGGTCTACGGTTTGAGCCGGCTCCACCTGTCGCCGTACGCGACGCGGCGCCAGTGGCGCGTCTTCGACACGGCGGCGCCGTCCCTCAACCTGCCCGGCGACACGGACGCCTGGGGCCGTGACTACCCCTTTTCGGTGACGGCGGAATCGACGTTTGGCGCCGACGCGGTCAAGGCCCTGTTCCGGGACCACTACGAGGGCACGCCGTACGACATGACGCGAGGCATCGCCGCGGGCCCGCACGGCGACCCGAACCGCTTCGACACGTCGGCGACCTTCGACGTGGGCTACGCCCACGCGGGCGACGCCGTGACCATGGACGAGGCGTCGAGCGGCATGTTCGAGCGGGCCATCTCCATCTTCCGCTGCTCCTACTCGTTCGGCTCAGTGCAGGAAAAGAGAGCGAAATTCCCAACTTCAAAGGCTCCTATCTCGGCCGTTTTCCACTCGTTTCGGCTGATTTTTGGACGAGCGATCATCTCTCGGAACGGTCTCGAAGCATGGATGCTTTTTCCGGAACGCGCGCGCGCGGAACACTCATGTTGAAGCGAACTTGAATCACCCTTTTCCTGCCCAGGTTCGTGTCGCAGAGCCGGGGCGTCCGGGGCGAGGCCGCGGGCTACCCGTCCGTGCTCTGGGTCGCGCAGTACGCGCCCCACGCCGCGTCCTACGTGCCCGTGTACGTGGACGCGGATGCCGTGCCGGAGCCTTTGGCGTCGGGCAGCCTGCACGCGGTCGACGCGAAGGCGCAGTACTGGGCGCACGCGATGGTCGGCAACTGGGCCGCGCGCTTCTGGGACGCGGCCATGCCCATCGTCGCCAAGACCATCGACGACGTCGCCAACGACATCGAGGCGAAACGCCGGGCGGTGGAGGAGGCGGCCAAGGACGCGGACGGCGCGGCGCGGGCCGCGGCGCTCGGGGCCTTCGCGAACGCGACGGCGGCGGACGCGCTGGCGACCTGGTGGGCCTTGTTCTGGGACCTGGCGGCGACGGTCAAGGACGGCCAGCGCCTCGACGACATCCACGTCGAGAAGCTCAACCCGACGAAGCTCTTCTACCCGCGGCGCTGGCTCGACGCGATCCACTTCTTCCCGGGCTCGGAGAAGAGCGCCTGGGCCACCTACGCGCCGAGCGAGACGTCCATCGTCGCCTACGGCATCTCCTTCCTCCTCGGCGCGGCGCTCGCGGCCTTCATGGTCAAGCAGAAGGAGCCCAAGGCCGAGCCCGTCCCCGCGACGAACGGCTACGGCCTCGTGAACGCGTAGGGGCTCCGAGGCTCGGCGATTTAACCATATGCTGCTAGTGTCCGCGCCAGAGACGAGCACACGAGACCTTGGCGGCGTCTCCCGAGCTGCCCCACAAAAAAAAGGTCGACGGTGCCTTCTTCAACCGGCGCCTCAACGATCTTGCCCGCAACATAAATTTAGAGTGCGGGCTGCCGAGGGCTGGAGGGTGCCGCCCCGCCTTCTGCCGGGCCTGGTCGGCCGCCATGAACGTGCGCGGGCTCCACGGCGTGCCCAAGGAGCTCCTGATCAAACCGACGGTCAAGGAGTCCCAGGATGGCCGCGCGTCGGCGCGCAAGCTCGGCGCCATGGACAAGGACGCGAACGTGCGCGGCCAGCTCCTCAACGCCTACGACGACCCGAGCGGCGCGCTGAGCAACGTGGTCCGCTACTCGCGGGAGCAGGCCTTCGTCAAGGTCCGCCGCGCGACGGACCGCCACTACCGCAAGCTCCTCTCCGCGGGCCGCTTGTTCGAGGCGAAATTCGCGCCCGGCGCGCAGCTCGGCTTCCGGCTCCACATCGCGGCCTACTCCAAGGACAAGGCCGTGCGGGAGGTCCTCGAGATCGAGGAGACCTACGAGGACTGCCCCTTCTGGCCCGACAAGCTCCAGCCGACGGACGAGCTCGTGGCCGTGAACGGGAAATTGGTCGTGGAAGCGTCGCGCGAGTCGTTCCCGGGCATCGTCGCGGAGGTCACGTCCGCGGCGCGGCCCATGGTGTTGACGTTTGCGTCGGGCCTCCACCGGGCCAAGGCCTTCTCGGAGCAGCAGCGGCGCCGCGCGGCGGGCGGCGGCGCGCGGCCCGTCGAGGCCGTCGACGCGGAGAACGACGACGAGGACCGCTTCGCCGCCGAGTACGACGCGGCGCAGCAGGACCGGGCGCGGAACCTCGAGGAGGCGCGGCGGCAGGGGATCCGCGACGGCGAGCGCGAGGTCGCGTGTTTACTGGACCAGGAGGCGTGCCCGTGCTTCCACTTCCACCTGGGCCTCGCGGCGAAGAAGTGCCCGGACTGCTGCGAGCCCGTGGACGCGCAGAAGGTGCTGGCGGAGGCGGAGATCCCGGGCTTCAAGCGCGTCCCGGGGCGCAAGGCGGACTGCGCCTACTCCAAGGGGCAGCTCGTCAAAGTCCGCGCGGGCTGCGCGAACCCTCGGTTGGGCTGGTACGGCGGCTACGTGCGGAGCCCGGCGTCGGTGGGCGTGCTTCCGATCGACCACGCGTCCATCGGCGTCGTCGTCGACGTCGACCTCACGGCCTACGAGTTCGCCGTCGTCAGCGTCTGCTTCGACTGGGTCGTGCGGGGCTTCAAGGTCGACGCGGCGGACCTCGAGGCCGCGCACCGCGGCGACGAGAAGGCCTACGACGGCCACTACGACTTGCAGGCCGCGTCCCTGGACGCCTTCGAGAAGGAGCGCCGGCGGCGGACGAGCTCCTTCGGCCACGTCGACCGCGCGTACATCTTCGTCAACGAGGACCTCGAGGACCACGTCCGCAACGTCGTGCGGCCGGCGAACGCGCGCCGGTCTATCGCCGCGATGGAGCTCGAGCGCGACGACGAGGACTCGCGGGGCGGCTCCATTATTGTGGCGCACGAGGCCGCCATGAAACGCAAACACCGCAAACCCATCGACATCCGCGAGCGCCAGACGGACTACCCCTGCAAGCCCCTCTACGAGGACGCGCCGACGGAGTCCGTGACGCCGGAGGCGTCCGAGCAGGACCCGCTGGACATCGTCGACGCGGGCGCCTTAATCGACTACGTCTTCGGCGAGATCGACGACACGATCAAGTTCGCCAAGGACGAGCTCTACGCCGACGAGGACGACGAGGAGGACGTCAAGGCGCCCCACATGACGGAGACGCTCTTCCCCGAGGACGGCTTGGAGAAGCACGTCTACGAGCTCGGCTACTTTCCCGGCGAGGACATCGGCAAGGACCGGCGGAACTCGTTCAACCCGCCGACGGCGTCCCAGTTCGGCAAGGCGAAGATCGAAAAACTCGACGACGTCAACCACGCGCGCCAGGCGCCCCACATCACGGAGGAGCTCTCCTACGTCTGCGCGGACCCGGAGTACGACGCGCGCTTCGCGGTCACGGGCTGGGACGGCGACATCACCGAGGCCATGTCGTTCCGCGTGCCCTTCGTCGAGGTCGACGTCGCGCTGCCGGACCTCCCGGACCGCATCGAGATCCCCCACTTCCGGCTGCCGGACGTGCCGAGCTTCATGCTCCACATGCCCAAGTTCGGCGTCCCGGACATCGACATCCCCGATCTCCCGATCCCCCACATCCCCGGCGTCGACATCCACGACTTCGACATGCTGCCCGAGGTCGAGAAGCCCAAGTTCAAGATCCCCAAGGGGCCGGCGATCCCCCACGACCGCGACTTCTGGGACCCGACCATGGTCGAGAACCGCATGCGCCGGGCCAAGGAGGCGTCGTTCCGGGCGGCCACGTCCGTGCGCAACATCAAGCTGCGGCGCAAGAAGCCCGACGGCGGCGAAACGCAGGAGGAGTTCGCCGCGCCGCCCGTGGCGACGATGCACGACGAGGAGGACTACGAGCACTCGTTCCACCGCGCCGGCGCCGACGTCGCGGGGCTGGGCGACATGCACGGCTACGCGGACGAGCCCCGGACCGTGCCCGACGGCTTCGCCGAGGCCAAGGACGACTTCGCGCCGGACATCGACGACTTCCAGTTCCAGTCCGCCTTCGCCAAGTCGCGGCAGCACAAGTACGCGGACTCCGCGGCCGACCGCGTCGCCGAGCTCCCGGGCCGCAAGCCGCCGCCGGTGTCGCTGTCCTCGGAGAGCTCCTTCCGCCGCGCGGACCTGAAGCACCGCGAGTTCTCCCAGGCCAAGAAGCGCGCGACGATGATGGCCTTCCCGGAGATGGAGTACCACCCGGAGGCCAAGGGCACCTACGGCGACGTCGTCGCCGGCGGGCCCCACTGACGCGGCCCGCGCCGACGCCCCGCCGCGCGCGCGACTCCCAACCCCCGGTCGGCGCCGCGACAAAAAACCTGTAACCTCTCTCTTTCGCCTAACATATCCCGCCGGCGGGATATGTTACGCCACGCGTGCGGGGCTTGCGTGCGCGGATGCCATGTTGCCGCCGGGTTGCAGTCGAGTTGCCGCGGGTTGAGGGCGAGAATTGAGCCGATGAGCTGTCGACAACTTCTCGCTTGCGCGTTAGCCTTCGCGCGCTGCGCGGCGCTCGTCGCGCCGCCCGGGCGGCATCGGACGCGCCCGACGACGACGCTCGTGAACGCCGCCTCCTTCGAGGACGCCGTGCGCGGCGCCCTCGGCGCGGACCCGGCGCACCTCGACGAGTTTTTGGCGCCCGGCGCGACCTGGCGGAACCCCCTCGGCGACTACGAGGGTGCCGGCGCCGTGCGCGGCCTCCTCGCCGACGCCGCGGGCTTCCTCGAGGCGCCGCGCTTCGACGTCTACGGCGAGGCCGCGCGCGGCGGCGAAACGCGCTACGAGTGGGTCGCGTCCGGCGGCTGGCCGGTGCAGTGGGCGCCGCGCGTCGTCCTCCACGGCGCGAGCGTCGTGTCGTGGGATAATGCGGGCCGGGCCGTCGACGTCGTCGACGAGTGGCGCGCGTCGCCGCAGAAATTGGTGACGGACCAGATCGCGCCCAAGTTCTGGGACGTCTACGACCTCTTCGCGACGCCGACGGCCGAGCGGCCCGGCGAGGAGACGCTGGACACCGTGAAGCTCGCGGGCGCGACGGCGCGCGTCGTGCGGACGCCGCCGCGGCTGGCCATGGTCGCGTCCGTCGTCGACGTGTCCAACTCGCGGAAGCAACGCGTCGCGTCCGCGCTGCCCGACTTCTGCTTCCGCGTCGACACGCGGAACCCGACGCGCGGCTCGACGACGACGGCGCCGCTGGCGATCAGCGTGGAAGCGCTCCCGAAAAGCGACGGCGAGACGACGGTCCGGCGGAAGGTGACTTGGCGGTGCCCGCTGCCGTCGCGCCTCGGCCTCGACCCGGCCGACCCGCGCCTGCCGCCCCTGGACGGCGAGCTGCTCGACCCGTCGCTATCGACGGGCGTCGCCGTGGACCCGTCGCTGGCCTACGTGCTCGAGCCGGAGCGCTACCTGCTGGCGGCGCCGTTCCGCGGCGACGTCCAGGATCCCGCCGTCGACGCGCTCCGCCGCGAGCTCGTCGCCGCGGCGGCGGCGAGCGGCCTCGTACCCAAGCCGGGGCCCAACGGCGGCGCCCCGCCCGCGCTGCTCCGCAAGTGGCAGGCGAAGCTCGGCTACACGGGCGACGGCGCCTGCGTCTACGCGGTCTACGCGAACACGCCGGCCTTCCTGCCCGTGGACCGCGACGACGTCGCCATCGAGATCGAGCGGCCATAACATCATACTATCTAGAACTCGACGGTGGCGAACGCGGGCGCCTCGTGCGCGACCCACGCGAGGAGCGCGGCGCGGTCGGGCCGGCCCCGGAACGCGGCGACCTTGGCGCCCCGCCGGAAGAGCTGGAACGACGGGAACGAGGGCACGTCGTGCGCGTCCGCCTAGGCATCGCATGCGTGGCGGCCGCGCGCGGGACGCGGGCGCGCGCGAGGTCCTCGTGCTCGACGCCGTCGCAGCGCGCGAACGTCAGCGTCGCGGTCCCCGCCGCCGCCGCGACGGCGGCGTACTCCGGCGCGAAGCGCTTGCAGTGCTGGCACCAGGGCGCGTAGAACATGACGACCGCCGCCGGCGCCCCGCCGACGACCGCGCTCCAGCTGTCGCGGTCCACCTCCTCGACGCCGCCGGCGGACCTGCGCGTGACCGGTGTGTGCGGCGCCATCGACGACGCCGAGACGCCGGCGACGCGCGTCGTCGACGCCGCGAAGGGGCCCGCGGCCGCCGGCCACGCGAGCAACGCGACCAACGCGAGGGCTGCCCGCATTCTCGCAAGCTCCATCGTTGTCACACCGGTGGCACGAAGTTGCTCAACGGTAGGCCTAACGGTCCTCTCTCGCGAGACGCGCGGGCCCTTAAGAAGACCGCGGCGCGGCGCCTCCCTACTGGGCGTCGGAGACGGTGCGCTGGAGCGTGGACCTGTCGGCGGCCTTGTTCCGCGCGACCTGCCAGATCTTGGCCGTGTGGTCGCGGCTCGCGGTCATGACGCAGGTGCCGTCGGAGGAGAAGGCGACGCAGGTGACGTGGTCCGTGTGGCCGTCGAGGGTGTGGATGCACTCGTCCGTGCGCCAGGAGTGCCAGAGCTTGGCCGTGTGGTCGAGGCTGCCCGTGACGACGACCTTGTCGTCCTTGGAGAACGCGCACGACGTCACGGTGCCCTGGTGGCCCTTGATCTCCTTCTGGAACTCGGCGCGCTCGGAGTCCCAGAGCCTAGCCGTCTGGTCCGTCGACGCCGTGACGATGCGCTTGCCGTCGTGGCTCCAGTCGCACTTGAGGATCCAGTCGCTGTGGCCCGTGAGCGTGCTCACGCACGCGCCCGTCGTCGCGTCCCAGATCTTCGCCGTCATGTCCAACGACCCCGTGACGACGCGCAGGCCGTCGGGGCTGAAGGCGCCGCTGGAGACCTTGTCCGTGTGGCCCTCGAGCTTGTGGAGGATTTCGCCCGTCGCGACGTCCCACAGGATCGCGGTCTGGTCGTCGGACGTCGTCATGAGCCGCTTGCCGTCGGGGCTGAAGTTGCAGCTCAGGCAGAAGGACTCGTGGCCGTCGAGCGTCTTGAGGAGCTCGCCACTGAAGGCGTCCCAGAGCTTGCACGTGTTGTCCGTCGAGCTGCTCGCGATGACGTCGCCCTTGTTCGACACCTTGCAGGCCGTCACGTAGGAGGCCTCCTCGATGTCGCGCACGAGCTTCCCGTTGCCCGTGTTCCAGAGCTTCACCGTCTTGTCGTCGCCGCCCGTGACGACGAGGGCGCCGTCGGCGCTGAAGGAGCAGCTGTGGATGCGCGCCGTGTGGCCCTCGAGCGTGAGCTTCAGCGAGATGCTGCCCTCGGCGTTCTTGCTCTTCCCGCTGCCCATGGTGGAGAGATCCGGCTGGCTGGGACGGGCGGCCGCCGCCGGGCGCGAGCAGCACCACCACCAACGCAACGAGCAGCGGGCGCGTGGCGGTCTGCAGTACGAACGGCGGGACCGGCGGCGGGAGCGGTCGCCTGGCTTTCAGCGCCGGCGGCTGGGCTGGAAGTTTCAGGAGCTCTATATAAACGTCAAGACTGGGATTTCAAGTTCATGGTGCACCTCGAGAAGAATACCATAACATGAAGCGGGCTACCCTCCTCTTCACCGGCGCCGCCGCCGAGTTCGCCGTCCTCCAGCCGCAGAAGTTCCAGCCGCTCATGGCGCGGCTCCCGACCGTCAACGGCTGGTCGGGCGAGCGCGCCTTCGCCTGGGCCGTCCGAGAGGCGCCCTTCGTCGAGGTCGCCGACGCCGACGTCGAGGCCGCGTACTACTTCCGCCTGAAGGTGATGCGCGAGCACACCATCGAGACGGGCTTCGACGCGGCGCCCTTCGCCTTCAGCGAGTGCCGCTACCCCACGACGGAGGCCGACCCGGCGAAGCCGCGGAACCCCTCGAACGGCACCGTGGGCTGCCTCTGGGGCGACGCGCAGGGCGTCATCAACGCCGCCTCGGGCCACCACCTCGCCGAGGCGCGCTGGCTGCGGAACGCGACGTACCACGACTCCTACCTGCGCTACTTCTTCGCGCGGCCCATGCGCTACGCGAACGGCACCGAGGCGACGACGACGCCGCCGCGGATTTACACGTCGTGGCAGACCATGGCGCTCCGCCGGTCCCTGGGCGTCGGCGGCGACCTGACGCTCGCCAGAGCTCTGCTGCCCTCGCTCGTCGCCAACGTCGAGGGCTGGGTGCGCGAGCACCGCTTCGACCGCTGCCCGACGGGCGCGTGCGACTGCGAGGCCGCGGACGAGGACCCCTTCGCGACGTGCAACCCGGGCGCCCCGCGATGCTTCCACATCGAGGACGGCTGGGACGCCATGGAGAACTCCGTGTCCGGCGGCGGCTGCCGGCCGACGATCTCGGGAGCCGTCTACGCGGAGGCGGCCGCGGTGTCGGACATCGCCGCGGCCGTCGGCGAGACGGACGTCTCCGAGACGATGGCGCGCGTCGCGGCGGACATCCGCGACATGTACCTCGCGACGTTCTGGAACGACAAGGGCTACTTCGCCGTGCTCAAGCTCAACAAGACGCAGTACGCCCGGGACGGTCACAGCTTCGACGGGACGCGGGACTCGACCGACTGGTACGACTACGACTGCGGCACGCTCGGGCCCGACGCGCAGCACAAGAACTGCAGCTCGGACCTCTGGCCCTGCGACGCGCTCGCCGACGCCGAGGAATTGCTGGGCCTCGGCAGCCCCTGGTTCTTCGGCGTCGTTCCCTACGACGAGACGGCGAAATACGAGGCCGCGTGGAAATCGCTGTCCGACGGCTTCGCGGGGCCCCACGGCCTCCGCACGGCCGCGCTGGACGTCCAGGGCCTCTGCCCGTTGGAGGCGTCGAAATACTCGGCGATGGTGAGCTGCGGGTGCTACAACTACTCGCATTCGGAATGCGCGTGGAACGCGCCGAGCTGGCCCTACGAGACGTCGCGCGTGTTGACGGCGATGTCGGATGTGCTCCACGGCGCGCGCGACGGGCGCTATTCGGCGGCGCAGGCGGCCGCGGTCGGTCGTACCGACTTCGAGGACCTCCTCGCCCAGTACGCGCGGCAGCACACGAAAGGCGCGGCGCCGAACGCGTCTTCGGAGTTGCCGTACCTCGGCGAGAACATCCACGCGGACGACGGCTACTGGATCGCGCGGTCCATGATGTACGGCGCCGTGCCCGGCGCGCAGGGGACGCCGCCGACGCCGGACCGGAACCGCAACGTCGACTACTTCCACAGCACGTTCGTCGACCTCGTCCTCGGCGGCCTGCTGGGCATCCGCGGCGCGCTCGAGGACCGTTTGGTGATCGCGCCGCTGACACAGTCCCGCTTTGCCGTCGACAACCTCAAGTACCACGGCCGCGACGTCGCGATCACCTTCGACCCGGACGGCGGGACCGTGTACGGGTGCCCGGGCCTCTGCGCCTACGTCGACGGGACGCTCGTCGCGTCCAACGCGTCGGCGCCGCTCAACCTGACGCTGGTCTAGATTCCTAGACGCCCCCGGGCGGCGCCGTGGGGATCTTCTTGTTGATCTCGAGGACGGCCTTGCAGCCCTTGAGCGCCTCCATCTTCGCGACCCAGGCCGCGACGTCGTCGGAGATGCCGCCGGGGAGCGTGCCGCCGTGGTGCTGCGTGAGGAGGAAGACGGCCTGCCAGAGCTGGAAGTGCGCGTAGTGCAGCGGCTGGTCCTCCTTCACCAGAGCGTCCAAATGCGCCATCCACTTTTGCGCGCGCGCGGGCTCGTCGACGCTGAACTTGAAGCCCTGGTCGAGAAAGTCGACGGCGTCGCAGGACATCTGGAGCGCGCGCGCCGCCGCCGCGGGCTCCGAGGGCGCGAGCCCGAGCTCGGCGCCGAGCGTCGCCATGATCGCCGCGCTCTGCGAGACCGCGGCGCCCGCGGGCGTCTCGACGATCGGACACGCGAAGATCGGCGGGCCGTTCCACTGCTTGTTGTCGACGAGCTCGTAGTCCGCGCCCGCGTGCTCGAGGATCGCGAGGATCCCGGGCAGGCGCCCGAGGAACCGCGAGCCCGCGGCCCAGTAGTAGACCTTATACGTGCCCGTAGGTACCTGCGCGCCGCGCGTCAAGAGCCGCCGGGCCATCTTGCCCATCGCCGGAGCGACGAGCGCCGCGCCCATCGCGCCCATGGCAATGAGCGACTCGCGCCGGGTGAGCGCCATTACGAAGGTGCGAGTACGGGCCTTTCAAAGTGCAATTGAACTGCAAGTGCACTTTTTGAATGCACTAAAAAATCTGGGGGCCATCTGGGGACCGCCGCCGAGAGCATGAGCGCCGCTCCCCCGTCGTCGCCGTCGGTCCGGGACGTCATGGGCGCGAAGAACGTCCCGGCGGAGCCCAGGCCCAAGTACGTCTGGCGCGGCCACCCGGGCTTCTTTGCCTGGACCCACGACGCGAAGACGAACAAGCTGATCATCCAGTGGCTCTGGCACGAGAGCGCCATGTCCTACAACATGTTCAACTGGATGCTGACCATGGCGCTCTACGAGGTCGCGGGCGTGGGGTGGGGCCTCGTGAGCCTGCGCCACTACAGCAAGGTCGCGGGCCCGGGCAGCAGCCGCCGCGTGAAGCAGCTCGGCTGGCCCGAGATGCCCGCGCTGACGACGGGCACGTCCATCATGGGCAGCGCGCTGTCGTTTTTGCTGGTGTTCCGCCTGTCGTGGTCCTTCGGCCGCTGGTGGGAGGCGCGGGGTTTGATCGGCACGGCGATGACGAAGATGCGGAACCTGGCGTCGATGATCACGGCGAACTCGGGCCAGCCCACGGCGGAGCAGGCCGACGCGCTCCTCGAGCTGCGGCTCGTATCCAAGCTCCACATCGCGACGATGGTCGACATCCTCGTGCAGGACCCGGCGGAGTCCGACGGCCAAAAAAAGATGCGGTCGAGCAAGAGCGTGCGGGCGCTGATCTTGGAGCTCTCGCCCAAGGAGGTGCGCGCGCTGGGCGAGGAGCGCGCGCGCCTGCTCGCGCGGAGCACGCGGCGCATCCTCGTCGTCCACTCCTGGCTCGCGCACGCGATCCGCACGTGCTGCGAGCTCCAGCTGCTGCGCGCGTTCGAGCAGGACTCGGCGCTGGACTGCCAGAACGAGCTGCTGCGCTGCTTCTACTCGTCGATGAAGATCAAGACGACGCCCATGCCCGGCGGCATCCGCGCGATCTCGCTCGTCGTGCGCTTCGCGTTCTGCGTGTGCCTCTTCCCGCAGTACATGGCCTACGCGTTCGTCATGAAGCTGTCGCCGGAGCAGCACGAGGTGCGTCTGGTGTGGGACAAGGGCGCGGACCTGTTCGTGACCTGGTTCATCGTGCTGACGGGTTTGATGATCGCGTTCTTCTCCGTGATCCACATCGTGGCTTTGGAGCTCGACGACCCCTACGGCGTCGACGGGAGCGACCTGCCCATGGAGAAGATGCGCCTGGGGCTCTGGAAGGATCTGGACGCGGTCAACGAGATGTACGAGGACAACAACAAGCTCGGCGGCGGCGAGGGGCTCAAGGCGTTCGCGTCGGGGTCGCGGATCCACCACAAGATGGCCAAGCTCGCGGCGAAGCACAAGAAGCAGTCGTCGTTCCGCGCGCACCCGGGGTCCCACCTCCTCCACGAGGCGCTCCACGCCGAGGGCGTCGCGAAGCGCAAGGTCGGCGTCGGCCTCCACGAGATCAAGGCCGACGTCGTCCAGTTCGGCGACGGCCTCGTGCACGAGCGCGTGCGCCGCCAGAACTCCTACGCGGCGGCCGTCGTCGACGAGGACGACGTCGAGGAGGAGGAGGACCTCCTCGAGGAGACGCTGGAGCTCGCCATGGACGAGGACGAGGGCGACGACGCGCCGGCCGTCGAGGACGTCGCCGCGGAGTCGGACGACGCGTTCCGCGCGAGCGCGGCCGCGGAGCTCGTCGAGCAGGTCTGCATCGGCGACCAGGCCGACGAGGCCGCCGCCGAGGAGAAGGACCACTTCGACGACTCCGGCGACGAGCCCCAGCACGACACGATGACCGCCGCGGAGAAGCAGCTCGAGGAGGCGCGGAAGAAGCTCGAGGCCGCCAAGGCCAAGGCCGCGTCGCCGACGAAGCTCGACGCCTGACTTCGACGCGGCCCTTTCCCCCGCCCCTACATTCTGTTTTTTTTTGAAGTTGGAGGGCGTCTTCGAGAAGTTGGAGTTGCCTCTCGTTCGTGAAGATGCCGTCGCACGGTTTGGCGGTGGGTCGAGGGGCTGCCCCGGTCGACCGTCATGGGCGCCGCCGCGTCGGCCAGCCAGGCGAAGCGGATCGACGCGGCCGCCGCGAAGAAGCTCGCCGGCGAGCGCTTCGACGCCGCGGCCTTCGACGAGGCCGCCGCCGGCACGGGCGGCGTCAAAGTCGTGACGTTCCTCGTGCCCGTCAAGGGCAAGGCGGGCCTGGACTGGGGCATGGACTGCTGCGTGAGCCGCGTCGCGCCCAACGGCTACGCGGCGAAGAAGGGCATCCAGGTGGGCTGGCGCGTCTACGACATCGCGGGAACTGTCGTGAAGACGAAGAGCCAGATTGCGGACGCGATCTCGGCCGCGCGCGTCAAGCAGAAGCACAACGCGTCGAAGCCCTTCAAGATCACGCTCCTCGCGCCCGCCGGCGACAAGCCCAAGGCGCCACCCGCCGAGGCGACGAAGCCCGAGACGCAGCCCGCGGCGGAGCCGGCCGTCGAGCCCGCGGCCGCGGCCGCCGCGGAGCAGCCCGCGGTCGAGCCCGCGACCACCGCGGAGACGACCGAGCCCGCGACCACGACGGAGCAGCCGGCGGAACCCGCGACCACGACGGAGCAGCCGGCCGAGCCCGCGACCACGACGGAGCAGCCGGCCGCGCCCGCGACACCGGCCGAGCCCGCGCCCGCGACCACGACGGAGCAGCCGGCCGCGCCCGCGACACCGGCGGAGCCCGCGCCCGCGACCGAGCCCGTCGCGGCCGCGTAAGCGGAGTCGCAGTGTTACGACGGGCGCGGGGGAGCTTGAGCTTGGGGGGGAGGGATGCCCTCTTGGAGCTTCGGGGGGAGACTCACGCGGACTTGAAGGTGGAGCCGAGCGCGGCGCGGATGTAGGCGACCTTCACCGTGAAGAAGGAGTAGAACGCGTCGGCCTTGGCGCCGACGAAGGCCCAGACCGCGGCCCAGACGGGCGCCGCGGGCGCCGCGACGACGCCGGGCGCCTTGGGCTTGATCGCGCTCTTGGCGACCTCGGCGCGCGCCTTCGCGACCTTGGCGTCCTCGGCGGCCCGGGCGCGGCCCGCGGCGCCGGCGAGCTTCGCCTCGAGGGCGTCGCGCTTCGCGGCCGCGACGGCGTCGCGCTTCGCCGCGGCCTTGACCGCGGCCGCGCGGTCCTTGGCCGCGTTCGCGACCTTGTCCTGCGTCGCCGCCTCCGCGCGCGCGAGCGCCGCGCGGTACTTGGCCTCGGACTCGGCGGCGCGCGCCGCGAAGGCCGCGGCCGCGCGCGCCTTGACGTCCGGGCTCGCGAAGCCCTTGGCCTTCTCGACCTTGAGCGCGACGGCCTCGGCGCGCCGCGCCTCGGCCTTCTCCATCTTCCGCGCGCGCGCGCCCTCGGCCTTCTCCTTGAGCGCCGCCTTGGACGCCTTGGCCGCCGCGCCCCGCTCCACGGCCTTGGCCGCCATGGACCCGGCCTTCTGCTTCTTGAGAAAGGTCGCGAGGTTCGCCGACTGCTCGCCCTGGTCGAGCCGCGCCTCCATTTTGGCCTCCTTGCGCGCGCTCCCGTCGTCGACGGGCTTCCAGGGCGACTTCTTCGGCGTCTTCCGCGCGGACAGCGCCTCCTCGCGGCGCGCCGCCGCGGCCTTGAGCTTCGCGACGAGCGCCGCGGCGCTGTCGGGCGCCTCGACGTCGCCGCGCGGCTTCGCCGGCGTCTTCCGCGGCGTCGCGCGGGCGTTGAGCGCCTCCTCGCGGCGCGCGCTCGCCGCCTCGAGCTTCGCGCTCAGCGCCGCGGCCTTGTCCGCGGGCGTCGGCGCGTCCGGCTTCGCCGGCGTCTTCCGCGGCGTCTTCCGCGCGGACAGCGCCTCCTCGCGCCGCGCGCCCGCGGCCTCGAGCTTCGCGGCCAGCGCCGCGGCCTTGTCCGCGGCGTCGTCCTTGGCGGGCGACGGCTTCTTCTGCGGCGTCTTCCGCGCCTCGAGCATCTGCGACCGCCGCGCTTCCGCCGCGAGGAGCTTCATCGTCAGCTCGTCCGCCGAGTAGAGCTTCGGCGCGTTCTCCTTCGACGCCTCGAGGCGCTCCTTGACGGGGACCTGTGTTTGCGGGGTCGGGGAGCGGGGGGGCGGAAGCGACCGAGCGGTGCGCGTGTGGGAACGGACGCCGCGGGGGAACCGAGCTCTTCTTCTTCAGGCGGCGCTTGAGCTTCCCGAGGAAGCCCTTCTGCGGTTCCGGCGACATGAAGAGCGCGCGCGACGAGTTGTTCGACGACGCCAGGGGCGCCGTCGACGGGGAGGGCGCCACGGCGGGCGCCGGCGGCGCCGTGGGGGACGGGCTCATGACCTCGGCCATCGTGCCTACGGCGAATCTGAGCTCGTGCGTCGTCGCGCGCGAAGGTTCTGAGTTCGTCGCGCGTTCGTCGTCTGTTGCGTCGATTTGCGCGCGGTTTTGATGTCGGGACGGTATGATGATCTCTTCGCGTCGACTAGGGGAAGAGCTAGGAGTTCAAAGCGCTCGATTAGGTCGCCCAGGTCGTATCAAAGGACACCGCACCATCGCGTCGATTTCCAACGAGCTCTAGGTTTACTAGGATAAGTTCAAGGTACGCGTTTATTGGAACATCTCGAGCTGCCAAAGCTGCCCCACACCGAGCCACAGCCAGCTCTGTTGCGTCGCGCCGCAGTCGATGGAGTCCAAGTCCGAGGGCAAGTACGACAGCGACGACGACGCCAAGGGCTCCGGCGGCGCCAAGGACGGCGGCGACGCCAAGGGCTCGTCGAGCGGCGGCGGCGCGCTCATCCGGCAGGTCTTCGACTACTACACGGACTCGAAGGACCTCGAGGACGAGGTGCGGCGCTTCGTCTTCGCGAACTGCAAGACGTTCGGCGCCGCGAACGGCGAGTACGAGCTGGAGCACACGGAGATCTACAACGATTTCAAGACCCTGCTGGAGAGAAAGCTCGAGGGCTTCATCGAGAGATGCGGCGCGTCCGTCGGCGACTTCTACGAGGCCGTCGCGGCCAACGAGGGCCGGGGCATGTACAGCGGGTCGAGCTTCGTCGCCGTGCTGACCGGCGCGACGAGCTTCGAGGTCTTCGCGGATCTGATGGTCGACGCGAAGAACGGCGAGTTCACCTGGGTCATGGAGTAGGGGGGTCGGTAAAAAAAGGACCGCGTCGGTCGGCGCTTTACGCACCCGTTACGGCGGCAGCGGCCCGAAGCGGCGGCGGTAGCGCTCGACCTCCGCGAGCGCGGCCTTGAGGTCGCCGTCGAGGCGCTCGTTCTCGCGGAGCGCCGCGGCGAGCGCGTCCTGGAGGTGGCGCGCGATGGAGTCGTTCTTCGCGCGCGGCGGGTCGTAGGCCGACGGCGACGGCTCCGCGTAGGCCGGCTCGTCGCCGCGCGGCGGCGTCGCCGCGGCGCGCGGCGACGGCGCGGCGCGCGGCCGGTGGGCCGGCTCGTCGCCCCGCGGCGACGGCGCGGCCCGCGCGTCGCTCCGCGGCGCCGGCCGGGCCTGGAGCCCGACGAAGGGCGCGCCCGGCGCGCCGTAGACGTCGTCGCGGCGCCGGAGCTGGTCGCGCGTCACGCCGTCGTCGCGGCGGAGGTTCGCGGGCGCGTCCTCGCGCGTGCTCCGGCCCGCGCGGCCGCCGTCGTAGCTGATGATGTCGCCGAGCTTGCTGCCGCGGCCGTTCGCCGACGGCCGGCGGCCGCGGCCCGTCGTCCGCGCGGGGCCGGCGCCGCCGTCGCGCGCGGACGGCAGGAAGCTCGACGCCTGGCGCAGGCGCTTCTCGTCCTCGCGCCGCTCGTCGTCGCGCTCCTTCTCGAGGCGCGCGGCCCGCGCCTCGCGGTCGCGGAGCACGAGCAGCTCGTGCTCGCGCCTCAGCGCGGCGCGCTGCTCCTCGGACCGGCCCTCGGGCCCGACGACCGAGACGCCCCCCGCGTGCGACCCCTGCGGCGTCGCGACGCGGACCTCGAAGGAGTCCTGCTTCTCGCGGCGGCCGCTCCGGGGCGCCGCGCGGTGCGGCGCCGCCGGCGCGGGGCCGTCGTCGCCGCCGAGGGGCAGCGCGGGCGGCCGCTGCGCCGCGGCGCGCTCCCACCACTCGAGCACCTCCTCCTCGCTCTCCGCGGTCGGACGCTCCCGGTCGCGGATGACCTGGGCGTTGTGCGACAGGACCTCCGTCTCCAACTGGCGCGCGTCGAAGTACTCGGCGTCGACGGAGGACCCGTAGGCGCGGGGCTGCATGTCGCCGCCGTGCGGGCCCACGCGCAGCGGCGACCCCGTCACCGGGTTGAGGTGCTCCATGGGTGAGACGATTGTGCCGGCAGTGGTGTTCGGTGCGGCCCGCGGCACTTCTAAGCGCCCATAAGCTGCCCACTTTGAAATTCGGCCTTGCAGGCAAACTTCCGGTGCAACTCAGGGCTGCCTCGCCGCTGATGGCGCGCCTCTGGCGCTGGCTCGCGGTCGTAGCGCTCGTGGGCGGGGCGGATCCCTACCTGCCCGACCTCGAGCGCGCGGCGGCGATGCAGAGCCAGGGCCGCATCGACGAGGCCGAAAAGGTCTACGCCGCCGTGCTCGAGCAGTCGCCGGACCACCCCGACGCGCTCCACCTGCTCGGGCTCGTCGTCTACGCGCGCCTCGACGCGGAGTGGTACGAGACGGGCGTCCGGCCCGACCCCGGCCACGTGGCACAGAGCGTCGCCCTCGTGCGGCGCGCCGTCGCTGGCAGGCCGAACGACTCGAACATCCTCACGAATTTCGGGGAGCTGCTGCGCTGGGCCGGCGACCACGCGGGCGCGCTGGAGATGCTGGGCCGGGCGACGGCGCTCGCGCCGGACAGCGTGGGCGCCTGGCGCAACGTCGCCGCCGTCCACTTTGAAGCGGAGAACTGGTGCGGCGTCGTCGACGCGAACGGGAGGGCGCTGCGAGCCATGGGCGTCGACCCCATGGGCGGCCGCGGCCCGCGCGCCGACGACGACGAGAATTTGGCGACGATGGAGAAGGTCGCGCGCATGGATTTAGGCGAGGCGCTGCGGCGGTGCCGGACGCTGGAGGAGGGCCTCGAGTTCTTCGAAGTATCGGTCGCCGCGTGGCCGGACGACCCGCGGCTGAACCTCGGCGCGGGCGTCAACGCGCAGCATCTCGGCTTGTTGGACGTCGCCGCGGGCTACTACGAGGTCGCGGCGCGCATCGCGGCGGACGGGCCCGTGAAGCGGCAGGCGCTCGTGAACCGCGCGGCGGTGGACCACGAGCGCGGCGCGATGGAACTGGCCATCGCGGGCTACCGGCGCGTGCTCGACGACTTCCCCGAGGACACGCAGGCCCTCAACAACCTCGGCGCGGCGCTCGTCACCATCGGCGAGCACGAGCAGGCCATGGCCGTGCTGGACAAGTGCCTCAAGATCGACGGCGACCAGCCCCAAGCCTTGACGAATCTCGCCATGCACCACGCCAACGAGGGCGCCGTCGACGAGGCGCGGGACTTGTTGCACCGGGCGCGGCGCCTGCTCCGCGCGCGCGCCGGCGGCAACGACAACCGGGGCACGAGCGACGGCGCGGGGCTTCTGGCGCGCGAGGTGACGATGATGCGCCCCATGGTCGAGGACGCGGGCCAGATGTACGCGGAGCGGCTGGCGTTCGCGGGCCGCGTGCTCGCGCTCCAGCACGCCTTGAAGGATCCCGTCGTGCGGCGGCGGTTGCGCATCGAGGATCCCGTGACGGAGGTCGAGCACGTGCATTTCTACGTGCCGTACTCGGGCCTCAACGACCGCCGCCTCCAGGAGGCCGTCTCCGACTGCTACCGCGCCATGATGAACCCGCAGCTCGACGGGCCCGCGGGGCCGTCCGTGTCGCCCCGGTTCTCCGGGTTCGCCGATCGCAAGGCGCGCGTCGGCTTCGTCTCGAAGTTCTTCGGCGAGCACGAGCCCCACGGCCTGCTCCTCGAGGGTTTGGTGACGCACCTGCCCCGGGACCTCTTCACGGTCGTCGTCTGCCCCGTGGCGTCGCCGGGCCGCAACGCGGCGAGCGAGCTGCTCGTGGCCGACGCGGACGAGCTCATCCCTTTGGGTTTCAATTACGCGCAGACGCGCCTGCTGCTGCTCGCCGCGAATCTGGACGTGCTCGTCTTCGCGGACATGCTCAGCGAGCCCATGACCTACTTCCTGGGTTTTAGTCGGTTCGCGCCCGTGCAGATCGCCTTCTGGGGCAACCCCATCACGACGGGCCGGCCGTCGGTGGATTTCTTCGTCTCCGCGGATCGCATGGAGCACCCGGAGCGGACGCGGCTCGCCGGCGACGCGGAGCCCTACACGGAGCAGGTCGTGCTGCTCGACGGCCAGGGCATCTGGTACCGGCGGCCGACGCTGCCCGCGGGCCTGCCGCTGCCGGGGCCCGGCGACCCCGCGCGCGCCGCGGCGTTGAGGGACGCGCGGGCCGCGCTCGGCATCGACGGCGCCGGCGTCCTGCTCCTCTGCCCCCAGTCCGTCTTCAAGCTCCACCCCTTTTTTGATGATGTTGTGCGGCGCATCCTCATCGAGGCGCCGGCGGCGACCGTGCTGTTCACGGAAGGCCGGCGGCCGCGGTGGACGGAGATGTTGAAAACGCGGCTCCAGAGGACGATGGGACCCCTGAGCGACCGCGTCGTCTTCCTGCCGCGCCAGAAGCCCGGCGACGACTACCTGCGCCTCCTGGGCCTCGCGGACGTCCTGCTCCACCCCTTCCCCTTCGGCGGGTCGCGGACGTCCGCGGACGGCCTCGCTTTGGGGGTTCCCGTGGTCACGAAGCCCACCGAGTACCTCCGCTGCCGCATGGCCGCGTCCTTCTACGCGTCCATGGGCCTGACGGGCGCCAACTGGACCCTCGTCGCCCACTCGACGGACGCCTACGTCGACTTTGTGGCGAAGCTCGCGAACGACGACGACCATCGCGCGGCGGTCGCCCACGCGGTGCGGAGCCGCCAGGACGTCATCTGGGAGGACGCGTCCGTCGTCGACGAGTGGGCCCAGCTCTTGGCGCGCGTCACGGGGCGCCGGCTGATCAAGGACCAGCGCCTCCACGAACGGCCGCCGTCGGCGACGGCCGTCGACGCGCACGACCTCGCCGTTGACGCGCGGCGCCTCTACGACGCGGGCCGCCTCGCCGAGTCCGCGGGGCTGTTGGAGACGCTCGTCCGCGCCTGCTACGAGGCCAAGGACGCCGTCCGCTGCCCCGACGAGGCCAAGGCGAAGAGCGATCTGGGGGCCGTCTACCAGCAGGCGGGCCGCTTCGCCGCCGCGGAGGCGGCGCTCCGCGCGTCCGTCGCCCTGAACCCGAACAACTCCATCGCCCTCAACAACCTCGCCGTCACCTACGTGTCCCTCGGGCGGCCCGAGGACGCCGAGCCCTACTACGCGGCCGCGCTCGAGACCGCGCGAAACGACGCGAGCCCGTACACCTACCCCTCGATGGGTGCACGCCGCGTCCGTTTTTTTTCCCGTTTTTTTCGCGACGCGAGAAGACTATTTCCCACACAGGTCGTTCCTAGCGACGGCGCTCTTCAACGCGGCGAACACCTTCCGCGACGCGGGCGACGCGCGCGGCGCCGCGAAGGTGCTCCGCGAGGGTTTGGGCGGCGCGTCGCCCGAGGCCGCGGCGCTCGGCCTCTTGGAACCGGCGAACCACCACCCAATAGACGGGGACCACGCCGTCGCGGCGACGCTCCGGGGCGACATGGTCGTGGCCGTGAACTCGCTGGTCGTGCTGGACACGCACCTGCTGGAGGGCGCGCGGCCGGGCACGTACGAGGCGACGCGCGGGCCGCCCTGGGGGCCGGGCGTCGAGGCGCCGCCGACGCTCGACGAGGTCTTCCCCCTGGGCGGCGACCGGCCGGGCTTCCATCTGGTCGTGCAGGTCTACGAGCCGTCGGACTATTTGCGGCGGCTCGACGTCGCGGTGGCGCTCGGCCGGAATCTGTGCGCGGCGCGCTTCGAGCGCGTCCACGCGCTCGTCGAGACGGACGCCGACGGCGCCTTCGCGCGGGCCGTGGCGCGGGCGAGCCCGTGTGCGGGGACGCTCGTCGTCGCGCCCCTGCGGCGGCGGCTGCGATTCTCGGACGCGTTCGACTACGCGGACGAGTTTTTAAAGGGCGAAGTGGTGGTCCTGGCGAACGCGGACATCTTCTTCGACGACGACTCGCTGCTGCGGCTCGGGGACCCGCGGACGCTGGACCTGGACCGGCGGGTGCTGGCGCTGCTGCGCTGGGAGTGGACCTGCGCCTTCGACGGCGACGCGGTCGAAACGCTCGAGGACCTGAACGGCCTCTTCTTCGCGGACGGGCGGCCCGGGGCCGACGACTGCGGCCTGCTGCGGCCCCGGGCCGACTCGCAGGACGCCTGGGTCTTCCGCGCGCCGCTCGACGGCGTCGATCTGCCCGTGGAGCTCGGGCGGGGCAAGTGCGACAACCACGCGGCCGCGACGTTCGCGGACGCGGGCTACGCCGTCGCGAACCCGAGCCTCGCCATCCGGCCCTACCACGTCCAGAACTGCGCGAAGCGTGCGAACGCGACGGCGGCGCCGCCGAAGCTCCGGTCCTACACGTCGACGACGGAGGTCAAGGGGCGCGTGGCCTACGTGCCCCTGTCGGACGCGTGGCTGTTTTAAGCTTGTGTGGAGTGTAAGCTTATGGGGTGTTGGAAGGAGAGGCCTAGCCGAAGACCTGGACCGTCGCCGTGATCTCCGCGCGGCAGATCGGGCAGCGCGAGCCGGAGGCGGAGAGGTGCGTGGAGGCGCACGACGCGCAGACGCACTTGTGGCCGCACGGGAAGCAGAGGTGCGTCCGCGACGCGTCGGCGAAGCAGATGGCGCACTCGTCTTCCTCTTTCGGCTCCTGGGGCGGCTCGGGCTGCTTCGCGCGCGCGCGCTTCTTGGGCGGCGGGGCGGCCGGGCGCTTCTGCTTGGGCGGCGCCGCTGCCGCGCGTTTCTTCTTGGGCTGCGCGGCGGCCGCGCGTTTCTGCGAGGGCTTCGCGGCGATCTCGGGCTTCTTGGCGCGCGCCGCGACGAGCGCTTTGACGTCTGAGGCGGAGTATGTCTTGACGTTGCAGGTGTGGTGATTGCCACTCGTCGGCTTCCGGGCGAGCTCGAAGGGGAGGTCGTCGAAAGAATGGATGTTCAGCTGCGGATACCGCGCCATCGCCGTCGTCGCCGTGTAGCGCGCGCCACTCTCAACCTCGCGCCAGCGCGGGTCGACGGGTACCGGCTCGGCGAAGCGAGCGGCAAGCGCGTCGACGTCGGCCGCGGCAAAGGTCTTGACGTCGCGCGCGGCTTGACCGGCGCTCCCCGGCTTCCAGGCGATCTCGCTTGGCAGTCTCGCGAAGAACCTCGAATGATTGAGCTGTGGGTACCGCGCCATCGCCGTCATCGCCGTGTAGCGCGCGCCGCTCTCGACGTCGAGCCAGCGCGGGTCGGCGGGTTCCGGCGCGGCGAGGCGAGCAGCGGCAAGCGCGTCGACAGCGGCCGCGGCGTAGGTCTTGACGTCGCGCGCGGCTTGACCGGCGCTCCCCGGCTTCCTGGCGATCTGGAAGCGCAGGTCCTTGCATGAATCCTGCGTCAGCTGCGGGTACCGCACCACGGCCGTCGTCGCTGTGTAGCGCGCGCCGCTTTCGACCTCGCGCCAGCGCACCACCTTCGCCTCCATGCCGACGCGCGTCAAGGATTCGGATCACACCATACTCGGCCGCGACTCGAGGGCTGCCAAGTTGACTAGATCTACAACGTCGGCTTCGTACCTCGAAGCTGAAGAGATCGCAATGGTCGCCGTTCCGACTCTCGCGCGCCTCCTAGCGATCCTCGCATTTCACCACGCCACCGCACGCATCGGCAATCATGCGCGCCCGTTGCAACTCCGCGGCGGCGCCAAAAAACTCCGCGGCGGGAGCGAGGACGAGGCGCCGGCGCCGCGCAAGGTCGGGTGCCTCATCGTGGGCCTCGGCGGCAACAACGGCTGCACGGTCCTGGCGGGCCTCGTCGCGAACCGGCGGCGCCTCGCCTGGGAGGGCCAGAAGCGGCGCATCGACGCCGACTGGGGCGGCTGCCTCACGCAGCGGGGCGATCTGGCCGAAAAGATGGCGTCGTTCGAGCACGCGGCCGTCGGCGGCTGGGACGTGCGGCCGACGAAGCTCGGCGCGGCGCTCCTCGCGGCGCGCATCGTCGACACGGACCTCGCGCGTTTGGTCGAGGCGGAGCTCGACGCCGTGGAGGTCATGCCGGGCGTCTACGACGAGCGCTACGTCGGCGAGAGCCAACGGGCCACCGCGACGCACACGAAGCAGGGCCTCGCGACGGCCAAGGAGAAGGTCGACGCCCTGCGCGCCGACATCCGCCGCTTCAAGGAGGCCCACGGCGTCGACGGCCACTGCACGGTCATCTGGTCCGCGTCCGTCGAACCGCCTTCCTTGCTACCCGAGGCCGCGGTCGCGACGGCCGACGCGCTGCTGGACATGCTCGCGGGCCCCCTCGAGTACGACGCGCCGCCGTCCCTGCTCTACGCCGTCGCCGCGGCCCTCGAGGGCTGCTCCTTCGTCAACGGCGGCAGCCAGGACACGGTGTGCGACGGTCTGGCGGAGCTCTGCGAACGAAAGGGCGCGTACGCGCTCGGCACGGACTTCAAGGCGGGCCAGACCAAGTTCAAGACCTGCGCCGTCGAATATCTCGAGAACAACGGCTTCACGGTGAAGGTCGTTGCGTCGTCGAACCACCTGGGCAACAACGACATGCGGAACCTCGCGCTCGGGACTCCCACGCAAGCGCGGACGAACGCCGCGAAGCTGCGGGTCAAGTCGTCGATCTTCAAGCCGGGCGTCGACCACCACGTGAGCGTCCAGTATGCGCCCTTCATCGGCGACGAGAAGCGCGACTTCGTCGAGTACACGTCGGAGGCGTTCCTCGGGCAGCTGCACACGATGGCGACGTACACGCGCTGCTCCGACTCCGTGCTCTGCGCGCCGCTCCTCGTCGACGCGACGGTGCTCCTCGACTTCTTCGCGACGCACGCCGTGGCCCCGGCCGAGGTCGCGGAGGCGACGGCCTACCTGTTCAAGGTGCCCGAGGGCCGCGCGCGCGCCGACGCCCGAGGATTCCACGCGCAGCTCGACACGATGAAGCGCACCGTCGCCGCCGTCGAAGCAGCGGAGGAGGACGTCGAGGCCCTGGTCGAGGAAGTCGAGGCACTGGTCGTCGACACGGAAGAGAAGGTGGAAGACGAAGAGGCGCCGGCGGAAGAAGAAGCCGGGGAAACGCCGCCGCCGGAGCCCGAGGAAACGCCCCCTTCGAAGCCCGCCGTCGTCTGCTGCGGCCTCGCGTGCCTCGACCTGGAGCTCGGCGGCGCCAGCGACGGCGGCCGCGAGGCCATCAACGGCTTCGAGGCCGCGACGTCGCGCGCGGGCGGCTCCGCGCCGCAAGCGGCGTCCGCGCTCGCGGACCACGGCGTCGCCGCCGTCGCCGTCGCGCCCATCGCCGGCGACGCCCAGGGCGACGAGCTCGCGCGGTTACTGCTGGACAGGGGCGTGCGCGTCGACGCGCCGCCGCGCTTCGACGCCGCGCGGACGGGCCTCGCGGTCGTGCCCGTCTTTTCGGACGGCGGCCGGGGCTGCTACTTCGGCGCGGGCGCGAACGCCGATTTCGGCGGCGAGGACGTCGTCGAGGGCGTGGCGCGCCAGGTCGCGCGCGGCGGCGTGTTGGCGGTGCACGTCGGCTACCCGCACCTCCTGCCGCGGCTCCGGGGCGTCGGGCTGCGGGCCGCGCTCGCGCGCGTCCGCGAGCTCGCGCCGAAAGCATTGATCTCGCTAGACGTCAACGGCGTCGGGCCCCGGGACCGCCTGGGCGACGGCATCATCGACGACTGTTTGGGGTTGGTGGACGTGCTGCACGCGAACGCGGACGAAGCGGCGACGCTCGCGGGCGCGCCCGCCGGGACGCCGCCCGCGCGCCTCGCCTTCGCGCTCGCGTCGGCGGGGCCCGCGGCGGTGCTCGTGTCCAGCGGCGCCAAGGGGGCGGACCTGGCGCTCTGCCCCGACGCGGCGCGCCTCGCGGCGTCGAATTTGCCGACGAGCTGGAGGCCCGCGGCGACGGCCGCGCCCGCGCTGCCCGGGCCCGGCGCGCCCAACGCCAACGGCGCCGGCGACGCGCTCTGCGCGGGCTTCATCGCCGCCCTGGTCGCCGGCGACGGCGCCGTGACCCTCGACGACGCGCTGCGCTGCGCGACGGTCGTGGCGCACGCGCGCGTCTTCGCGCTGCCGCGGCGGCCGATCCCCGAGATCCTCGCGGCGCTAAGGGCTTAGCGCGCGGTGGCGGGCCCGCGGCAGACGGCGTCGGGTATCCTCGTGAAGCCCGCGGCGTAGGCCGGGGACGCGTCGTCGAGGCACAGGTCGAGCGCGTCCGCGTCGACGAACAACGGGTCCGCGGCGACGGTGGAGTGCGTGTCGAAGCCCGACGACGTCCAGACGGACCAGTTGCCGATGGTCGTGAGGCCGTCGTTGTGGAAGAAGAACTGGTCGCTGTTCTCGCCGTAGACGTAGTACGTGTTGCGGTCGACGACGGAGAAGAGCGTGTCGAGGTAGTCGTCCGCGTGCACGAGCGCGCGCGTGGGCGTCCGGCGGAAGGCGACGACGTTGCGCTCGAAGGTGTTGTTCATCCGGTCGCCATCCTCGGCCTCGGCGACGATCTGCGCCGCGCCGTCCTCGTACTTGACGTCGAGCGACTCGAAGAAGACGTTGTTGACGACCCGGTTCTCCCAGCCGAGGTGGAAGAAGATGCCCGCCGTGCCCGTCTCGGCGATGACGTTGTCGTGGACCGCGTAGCCCGACGCGTAGTTGTCCAGGTAGATGCCGTAGGACATGTACTTGGTCAGGAGCGCGCCCACGAGGTCGCCGCTCCCGTCGTCGGCCTCGGCGTAGGACGAGTAGACGCCGACGGCGTCGACGACGCGGTTGTGGGAGATGACGGACTCGGACGTGGGCGCGTCGCTGTAGGCGATGAGGCTGATGGCGCCGTAGTCCTTCGTCGCCGTGCCCGTCGTTGTGATGCGGTTGTGGCTGACCGTGTTGTTGCCCGAGTTCGCGCCCTCGATGTCCTGGGACCGGATGGCGACGCCCCAGCGCGACGACTCGCGGATGTCGTTGTCGAAGATGTAGGTGGAAACGCAGGAACAACAGAACACGCCCGAGCTCGACGCGAGCGTCTCGCCGACTCGTAAAATGGCGTTCGACGTGATCGAAACGCCCGAGGGCTGCGTCGTCGCGTTGCCGACGAGCATGACCGCCGTCTGGCCCAGGCTCGTGAAGGAATTGCCCGCGACGACGCCGCCCGACGCCGAGTCCGTGAACAGGACGCCGCCGCCGCCGAGCTCCGCGAAGTTGCAGTCCGCGACGGTGACGTCCCGCGCGCCCCGGACGCGCACGGCCGCGTCCTTGGGGATGCCCACGGACGAGACCATGACGTCGAAATCGTCCTGGAAGCCGAAGCTGTCGTAGTCCGCGTCCGCGAACGTCACGCCGCGGAACTCGACGCCGTCCGCGCCCGGCATGAGCTCGAAGAGCCCCGCGGCAAGGGGCACGACGACGTTCGACGGCGGCCCGTCGCCCTCGCGCGTCGCCACGTACAGCGCGTCGTTGGCCTCGTCGTGGTGCCACTCGCCGACCGCGTCCAAAGCAGCGGTGGCGGAGAACACGTAGAGCCGCGCGCCCGTTTTGAGCTTCGTGTCGTCGCCGTCGCAGCCCGAGTCCGCGGAGATGGACGGCAGGGGGCAGGAGAGCTGGAACCACGTCGACGACTCGAGCAGCGACGTCGTCCCGTTGCTCAAATCGACCTCGATCTCCGCGAGCCGCCGCCGGATCGCGTCCGCGGGCCGGCGCAGCGCGCCCTCGTAGTTGTTCCAGGACTCCGAGGGCCAGACCATGGCGCGGCCGCCGGTCCAGTCCGGCGCGTCGAGCCACGCCGGCAGGCCCGCTTCTTCCGCGCCCTCCGCGAAGGCCACGGTGAAGTACCACTCGTCGTCGAACTCGTAGGCGTCGCTGACGTAGAGGAACTGGGTCGCGTCGGCGTAGTCGTCCTTCTTGTTCGGGAAGCGCGCCGGCGTGCCCCGGACGCCGTCTATGGCCAGCGACCGGAAGCGGACGCGTTCTCTGGTTCGCAACTCCTCGCTCGACGCGGCGCTCCGCAGGTCGCAGGCGTAGCGGTCGACGCCATCCTTCTGCGTGCCCAGCCGCCGCCAGCAGCCGTCGGGCACGGCGGCGCCGCCGCTGAGGACCGTCGAGCCGTTGCCCTGGATGATGGTGCCCGCGTCCTCGGGGCCGAGGCGCTGGAGGCCGCCTGTGCGGAAGCTGCCGCTCGCGAGCTGGATGACGCCCGGGCCCTTGCCCCGCCGCAGCTCCAGGGCCTTCGCGAGCGTGCGCACGGGCGACGCCGACGTGCCCGCGGCGGCGTCGTCGCCGGTCGTGGAGACGAAGACGACGCCGGCCGTGGCGTCGAGGGATGTCACGCGGAGGCTCGAGGGTCGCGCGACGGCGGCGAAAACGACGACGGCGGCGAGGCACGCCGCGGCGACGACACGTCGCGGGCGGCGGGACTGTCCGATGGCCTCGTAGCCCGCCATAGCTGCCCCTCACCCAATTCACGGCAGGATCGGATTCTTTCCGGCAACATTGTGTCGTTGCAGTCGGTTTTTACGCCGCGCGCCGCCCGTCCGCGCCGCCTCTAGCTGTAGAGCGTGTCGACGCCGACGTTCGCCTCGACGAGGCCCTTCGGGTTCAGCCGGACGATCTCCGCGTTGAGGACCGTCGCGAAGACGAGCCAGGCGAGGTAGGGCAGCAGGAGCGCCTTCGCGCCGACGGCGCCGAAGGCCGGCAGCACGGCGACGAGCGACGCGACGAGGGCGACGTTGAGGCCCAGCGCCGCCTTGAACTGCTTGAGTTTGAAGAAGAGCGGCGCCCAGAGGAGGTTGCCGACGTAGTGCGCGACGGCGAGCTTCGGCAAGGCGTTCGCGGCCGCGGCCTTGTAGGCCGCGAAGCCGATGGTCGCGTAGAGCGTCGTCCAGACGGGCGCGAAGATGCCCTTGGGCGGCGTCCAGGACGGCAGGTTCAGCGTGCCGTCGCCGTACCACGTCTTGGTCGCCGCGACGACGAAGGGCGTGCCGAGGACGCCGCCGAGGCAGGCGCCGGCCACCCAGGCCGGCGCCGGCGCGACGGCGGCGACGACGGCGCGCCGCGGCGGGGCCTTGGCGTGGTGGCTGGTAGGGCGGAAGCTGCTTGCGGCAGCGAAGACGAGAGACAAGCAGAGGGAGCGTGCCATGCTCTCCGATTGCTTGCGGTGCATGATCGACTTCATCATCCGCGCGAACCGAAGTTTCCGTAGCTGCCCCGATGATGGAGCGCTGCTATCTCCTTCGATAGCGCCGCCAAACGCGGGCGCGCAATGCCGCGGCGGCGCGCGATCGGCGGCGCCGAGATCGCCAGCGTGCTCTGCTGCTTCGGCTGCCTCATGGTCCTGGCCAACGTCGCCTTCGCCACCCTCGAGGCCGCCGCGGCCTGCGACCGCGCCCGCGGCGACCTCGCCGCCGCCGACGCCGCGGACGCGAAGAAGCCGGAGCCCAGGCCCTTCTCCGTCGTCGCGCTCCAGCGGAGCGTGGTGCCGAGCCTCGCCGCCGAGGCCTGGGCCGCGTACGCGCCGCCGCCGACGGCGGCGCCGACGCCGCCGACGCCGCTGCTACCGGACGCGCGGCCCGTGAGCGAGCGAAGCGCCCGGGACGAGCGCACGTTCCTCATCCCGAGCTACCCGACGAGCGGCAGCGAGATGGTCCGCGGCTTCTTCTCCGAGGCCACGGGATTAGGCCAGGGCGAGGTCTACGGCCCGCAACCCGGCGCGAAGCTCCTCCGCTACGCGGCCGTCGGCCGCGCGGGCGCGAAGCTGCCCTTCTTCTACGACGAGACATACGGCCCGCCGGGGGCGGCGCCGACGCTGCTCAAGACCCACTTCCCGCTCCTCGTGGGCAAGCAGCGCGACCCCGACTTCTTCGGCGGCTCGGTCCTGAGGACGTACTTCCACGGCGTCGCGCTGCTCGCGCGCCACCCCGTCGACTGCGTCGTCGGCGAGCTCACGCGCTGGCCCTGCCAGCGCGCCGCGGACGCCGCGAAAGCCGCGCTCGACGCCGGCGCCGCGGACTACGACGACCGGCGCGCGGCCGTGAACTCGGAACGGGCCGCGTGCCGCGTCGAAGCGATCCGCGGCCTCTGCCGGCGCGTGAAGCCGCTGGGCCTCGACACGCTCGCGCGCCAGTGGGCCGACTTCTACGAGTACTGGCTCGCCGCGGCGGACGCGCAGGGCGTCCCGGTCCGTGTGGAAATCAACCGCCGGTTTGGCACGTCCCGACCAAACTTTGAAATTCTCTCGCTCGGTCACATCGAAGTCGATTTGGCTGATTTTTGGACGAATCGATTGCTCTCGTCGAGTCTTCGAAGCACGGCCGAAAAGCCCGGTCCAAACCATTCGATTAAGTGCACATTGAAGTCAGGTTGAAGATTTGAGTTCCACGCAGGTCCCGCTCCGCGTCGTCCGCTACGAGGACGCGGTCGGCGACCCCGCGGCGACGTTTTCCGACCTCCTCGCCTTCATGGGCGTCGCCGTCGACCGGCGGCGCCTCGCGGCCGCCGCGAAGATCCAGGTCGCCGCGCGGCCGCCGCCGAAGACGTTCGGCGACCGCCTCTCGGCCGTCTGCGCGACGGGCTGGACCGCCGCGCGGCCGGGGCCCGCGGCGACGCACCGCGCCGCGGGGCCGTCGCTCGCGGAGGCGACGATCCTGTCCGTCGCGGGACCCACGGCGCGCAGGCTCGGGTACCGCATAAACGGGACTTTGTCGTGGCCGCGGGCTCTCTTCGGCGCCTGTATCTCGCGATCGCCAAAGCTCCCCCCAAGGGCTGTGGCAGAAACTGCTTTGCGATGCCTCGTCGCTCTTTATATACGCTCATTACGCCTCGCCGCTCTCGCGCCGTGGCGCCCATCGCGTTCAACGAAGAGGCGGATGACGAGGCCAAAGCGAAGACAAACCAGTGGTGGCCGTTGCTTCGGGCCCTCGCGTCGATGGTCGTGTTGGCGCTCGCGTCGATGGTCGTGTTGCACGCCTTCGTCGGCCCCGCCGCCGCCGTCGACGGCGCCGACGCGCGCCTCGTCGCATCGCTCGCGCGCGCCCACGTGCCCGGGTGGCGCGAGGCGACGATCGCCGTCGAATCGCCGGAGACCCAAGGCAAGCGGAGCGCGGCGTTCGTCGCGCGCGCGACCGGCGCGTCGCCCGCGGCCGTCTTCGCCGTGCTCCGCCGCGGCCCGGACGCCGTGGCGCCCGCGGCCGCGCGCGCCGGCTGCGCGCCGCGAATGTACTACTCCGGAGGCGTCGCGGACGACGCGCGCCACGCGACGATCTCGGCCTTGGCCGGCGACCGCGTCGGGCGGGACTTTTTAGCGACGAAAAACGTGAAGCTCGCGCGCGCGTTCGGCCGCAAGATATGCTGCGTCCACCGGCTCGCGACGGCCGCGCCGGCGCCGAAGACGCTCCGGGCCGCGCTCGCCGCGTCTGCGGTCGCGCGCCTCGACGCGAAGACCGAGGCCGCGGTCGTCGAAACGACGGACGACCCGCGGCTCCGGGGGCTGGTCCGTTTCGCGCTCCGGAGCGCGGCCAACTGGTCGAGGAGCGCGATGATGGAGTCTCACGTCCTCGCGCACGGCGACCTCCACAGCTGGAACGTGCTGCTCCGGGACGCGGACGTGGCGATCGTCGACTACGAGCTCGCGCACGCCGGCGGCGGCGCGATCATGGACCTCGCGATGTATCGGCGCGTTCGCGACCGCGACAACGTCGAGGCGCTGCTCCGCGCCTACCACGCGTGCCGCTTCGGCCGGTCGGGCGAGGGCGGCGACACGTACGATCGCGGGCTCGCGCGGAGGAGCGAGGTGCGAAAGATGCTCTTCGACCTGGAGATCGGCGTCGCGAACATCGTCCTCGAGAAGCTGGCGACGTGCGCGACGCTCGCCGGCGGCGGCTGCGCGCGCCTGGACATCGGACGCTTCGTCGCGACCGCGCGGCACCTGGACCCGGTCGACGGCGCCGCGGCCGCGCCGCCGTCCGCCGCGCAGATCTCCGCCGTGGGCGCCATGTACGCGGCCATCAGCGACGAGACGCGGCGCGACGCCGTCGTCGACCTGGGCCTCTACGCCGCGTCGCGCGGGAGGTCGCGGGCCTAATTTAGGCCCTAAACCTCCGACGTGACCCGGAGCGGCGGCGGCGGGCTATGCTATTACCCGCGCGCCGCGGCGGGGGTCTGGGGCCGGCTGCGCCGGGAGGACGCCTGGGACGCGGCCGTGTTCGGCCGGGACGCGGTGTTCGGCCGCGACCGGCCGCGGCTGGACCCGTGGTGGGAGTCCGTCGCCGTCGTCGGGCGGCTCCAGAGGTCCTCCTCGCCCTGGCGGTCCCGCGGGCCGTAGTGGAGGACGCCGGGCAGCTCGCTCCAGAGGAAGGACGCGCGCGTGTTCGGGTTCGCCGACGACGCGCGGCGCCCGCCCCCCGACGCCGACGACCGCCGCCGCTCGCCGGACGGCGCGAGCGCGCGCGGCGCGAGGACCGTGTCGCCCGTGCGCGGCGCCGCGAGCGTGAGCACGAGGGTCGTCGACGCGCGGACGCCCGCGTCCTCGAGGCATAAAGCGTCCGCGACGGGAGAACCGTCGAGCAAGACGACGTAGCGCGGGTCCCTGGCCGCGCAGGGGCACCGCGCGGAGGACTTGGCGGCCACGGCCCGCTTGACGTCCTTCAAGGTCGCCAGGGGGCTCAGCTTCAGGGACACGAGCGCGCCGTTGGGCGCGCAGCAGGAGAAGCGCGTGAAGCTCTTCGTCTGCCGCGCCGTCCGCCGCTTGTTCCGCCCGTAGGCGAACGCGGCGACGCGGCGGAAGTACTGGTACTGGAGCCACATGACCGCGACGCGCTCGCCGAGCGTGTCCCGCGCGGCGCCGCCCGGCGTCGTGCTCCAGACCTGCAGGATCTCCTTGAGCTGGCGCGCGAAGAGCGTCGGCTTGAGCAGGGCCGGGTTCCGGATGCGCATGCCGGGGGGCACGACGATGCCCGGCGCGATGAGGTGGTTGCCGCCCTTGAGGAGCTTCGGGAAGACGACGCTCATGCTTTCCTCGAGGGCGGCGCGGGGCGGCGCGGGGCTGCCCCCGGCCAAGCCCAGCGCGTCGGCGTGGGGTGCAACATCCGTGCATCTTGACGATCTGGGTCTGGGTCGACGATGTCTATTCTCGACCTGCGGCTTTGTGTGGAAAGCGATCCTCCTGCTCGCGCCGCCATCTTCCGTCTCGTGTCGCGCCGCCCGCCACCATGCTGCGCACGTCCCTGAGCTCCCTCGCGCGGCGCGCGGCGGCCGTCCGCCAGAAGTCGGCGGCCGTGGCGACCTTCGACGACGGCCCCGCCGTCGACGAGACCTTCGTCGGCGGCTACCCGGCGGGCGACGTGCAGACGACGAAGCTCGACAACGGCGTCACGGTCGTCAGCACCTGCGCGGCCCCCGTGGCCACGATCGGCGCGAAGCTCGGCGTCGGCGCCGCGTCGGGCCCGGCGTCCGCGGCCTTTGCTGCGTCGAAGATGGCGTTCAAAAGTGCGAACGGCGCCACCGACCTCAAGATCCAGCGCGACCTCGAGCTCCTGGGCTCGACGCCCCAGGCCGACGTCTCCGCCGCCGGCCTCGTCGTCGCCGTCGAGGCGCTCAAGGGCGACGGCGCCGAGGCGGCCTTCAAGTCCGTGGCGACGGGGTTGGGCGTCGGCCGCGACGCGTACGTCGCCTGGGAGTTCGACGAGATGAAGGCGTCGCCGGGCGTCCTGGCGTCCCTCGAGGCCCTCGCCACCGACGGGGCGTTGGCCGCGGCCGCGCGCGAGGCGGCGGGCGCCGGCGGCAAGGTCGCGTGCGCCGACTCGCTCGCGGCGCTGTCGTCCGCGGACGTCGACGCGTTCCTCCAGGACGCGCTCGCCGCCGCGCCCCTCACGGTCGTCGCCATGGGCGTCGACCACGCGACGGCGAAGCACCTCGCCGCCGCGGCCTTCGGGGACCTGCCCGCGCGCGGCGCGGCCGCGGCGCCGCCGGCCTTCGAGGCGGGCATGGCGACCGTGTCGTCCGGCTCCAGCGCCGTCGCGCTCGCCGTGCCCGCGCCGGCCGACGCCGCCGTCGCCGCGGTCCTCGCCGCCGCCTGCGGCGGCACCCTCGACGCGGGGCTCCTCGTCGTCGCGGGCGCGGACAAGGCCGCCGCCGCGGCGAAGCTCGACGGCCTCGCGGCCGCGGACGCCGGCGCCGCCAAGGCCGCGGCCAAGTTCGACGTCCTCTCCAAGACCGGCATGGACCTCTTCCTCCTCCTCGCCGACGGCGTCGACCCCGCCAAGCTCGCGGGCTCCATCGACGCCGTCTCCGACGCCGCCTTCGCCAAGGCCGCCAAGGCCGCGGGCGCCGCGGGCGCCGCCATGGCCGTCTCCGTCTAGGCGGTCCCCCGCGAGCGGCCGCCGACCCCTCCCCCGCCGCGACTAACACCTTGAACACAATCTCACTTCTCTTGAAGTAGGCCTTGAGGTGCACGTTGAGCCCTGAATAAACCGAGTGATCTGATCTGAGGTGGGCTGCTGAAGCTCCGCCTGCACCGCGCAGCAGCTCAGTTCGCGCGACGACCATCATGCGGCTGCTCGCGGCGCTCGTCACATGCTGCGGCGCCTACACCGTCGACTGGTGAGTGTTGGGCACCTGTTCACCGCAGAGGTAAGCGGCAGCAGCACCGGTTTCACATCATAGGAACGCCCAGTTCGACGCGGACCCGAAGACGCTCACCGTCGACGCCGACGCCGACGTCGCGTTCGAGTGGAGCGGCGGCCACGACGTCTGGTTGCTCGACGAGGACGGCTACGAGGGCTGCGCGTTCTCCGGCGGCAGCTACCTCGGCGGCTCGTCGGGCGTCGTCGCGGCCGGGCCCGCCGCGGGCGAGACGCTCTACTTCAGCTGCTCCGTCGGCTCGCACTGCTCCCAGGGCCAGAAGATCGCGATCACGGGCGCCGCCGCGGACGACGACGCGGACTCGACGAGCTGGTATTTCAAGAAGTAGAAAACGGCGTCCCGCGGCCGCGAGAGCCCTTGGGCGGGACACCGACGAGGAATCGTCGTGCTTCGTAGGTCGAAGAACACCTGCGAGAAATACGTACGCTGCCGTGTGATCTGGAGCGGTCCGCCACTTCGCCGTTCATAGGTCTCAAAGAAGTCGAAGAACTGCAAGAAGAAGGACGAGTTCAAGGTGAAGGCGGAGGCGAGACGCCGGCGCCCCGCAGCCCTCGTTCGACGTACGTACCAACTCGTAGGACGCCTGCCCGGAGACCTGCGGCGCCACGTGCGAGGACAGCACGTCGTGGTACGACGCCCGCTCCGTCCGGCTCGCGCGCGACGACGAACGCGCAGGTACTTCAAGAAGAGCAAGCAGACGTGCTCCGAGTACGTCTCGAAGAAGTCGAAGAACTGCGCGACGCCGGCGTCGCGTTGCTTTTTGCCAGGTCTCATCGTGACGCGCCACAGGCAAGAAGAAGGACGGCGCGAAAGTCAAGGTGCGAGAGTCTCGCGCGCCGCGCGCGCGAGACGCGCCGCGCGCCGCAGGCCAAGGACGCGTGCCCGGAGACGTGCGGCGCGTGCTAAGGCGTGTTATCGAGAGAGGCGCGTGCCCCAGTAGGTGCGGTCGTCGCCCTGGGACGCGTAGGTCTGGCCCGTGCACGCGTTCTCGTACCAGACGACGCTGTCGCGGTCCGCGAGCGCGCCGATGATGTCGAGGTCGTAGTCGCGGTCGACGTCGGCCATGGCCGCGAAGCGGATGCCGCCGGCGTCGTCGGAGACGTCGTGGGGCGCGAAGGCCATGGCGCCGTCGTTCTCGTACCACGCGACGGTCGAGTCGTACTTGTTCGACGCGAGGACGTCGACGTCGCCGTCGCCGTCGAGGTCCGCGGGGATGACGGAGTAGGCGCCGTCGGCGCCCTCGGAGACGACGTGGGGGTCGAAGGCCATGGACCCGTCGTTCTCGTACCACGCGACCTGCGACGCGCCGCGGATCGCGGCGAAGATGTCGACGTCGCCGTCGCCGTCGCCGTCGCGCGCGACGACCATGCGCGGCTGGACGACCTCCGTGTCGACGACGATGCGCTCGAAGCCCATGGCGCCGTCGTTCTCGTACCAGGTGATGGAGTAGTCGTAGCCCGTCGCGACGACGACGTCGACGTCGCCGTCGCCGTCGAGGTCGCCCGGGAACACGGACCAGGGCCCCGCGATGCCCTCGGCGACGACGTGCCGCGTGTAGACCCAGCCCGCCTCGTTCTCGTACCAGACGACGGAGCCCATGGTCCAGGACGACGCGATGACGTCGTCGTCGCCGTCGCCGTCCATGTCGGAGACCCACACGGACACGGCCGCGTGCGAATCGTCGACCAAAACCTCCGTGAAGACCATGGCATCGTTGACGAAGAGGCGCGTCGAGTTGTCGCCCCAGGACACGGCGATGACGTCGAGGTCGCCGTCTTCGTCGAAGTCGGCGAAGGCCGCGAAGGCCGCCTGTTCGGCGTCGTCCGCGATGACGCGCTTCGCGAAGCTCTCGGCGCCGTCGTTCTCGTACCAGGCGACCGTGTCGTCGTGCAGGGACGTGGCCAGGAGGTCGATGTCGCTGTCCTGGTCCATGTCCGCGGCCCAGACGTAGGACGGGTTGTCCGAGTTCCCGTCGATGACGCGCTCGTCGAAGACCAAGCCGGTGTCCGCGGAGCAGTCCATGCGCGCAAAGGCGGCGGGCGACGGCGCCCTCGTCGGCGCCCGCGTTTTGGTCGTGGGCGCCGGCGCCGGCGCGACCGTCGGCACGGGGGCGAAGGTCGCGTAGAGCGCCGCGACCTGGGCATCGTCGAGCGCGACGTCGTAACAAAACAAGTCGTCGACGGAGCCGAAGAAGGGCGCCGCCGTCGTGCCGCCGATCGTTAAGACTGATGCCGCCGTGGTCAACGACGCCGCGCCCGTGTCCCGGAGCGCGCCGTCGACGTAGAGCGCCCAGGTCCCGGCCCCGTCGAAGGTCAACAGCACGAGGTGCCACGCGCCCACGACCAACCCGACGTCCGCCACGGCCACGGCGCAGGCGCCCGTGAACGCGAGCTCGAGGTGGCCGTCCTCGTCGCCCGTGGCGATGCCAAAGTTCTCGCAGGGGCCGTCGCCGCCGCCGACCTCGAGGACGTAGGCGCCGTCGAACTTGTCGAAGCGGAGCCACGCGCCCAGGTCCGCGGCGCGTCGCCCGTGAGCTCGGGCACGACGTCGTCCATGGCGAAGCCGTGCTCGCCGCCGAAGAAGCGCGCGGGCGTGTTGAAGGGGCCCGTGTTCAACGACGCGCCGTAGGTCTCGGAGATGGCGTAGCCGTTCGCCGAACCGTCGAACGTCGGCTGGTCGTAGCCCGTCATGGACCCGTCGTCGAAGTCGAACCAGAAGACGAGCTCGTCGTCCATGAACGCGAGGACGTCCGTCGGCGCCGCCGTCGGCGCGTTGCTGCAGCCGCAGGCCTCGCGGCACGCCTCGTAGGCGACGCGGCCGTCGTCGCCGACGGCGGCGCACCGCGGCTCGTGCTGCCGCACCCAGTCGCAGTGCTTCGACGGCGTGTTGGCCTTGAACCAGGCGCCGTCGTCCTCGCACTTCGTCGGGGCGCGCGTCGGGTCCGCCGTCGGGGCCGGGACGGGCGTCGTCGTCGGCGCGCGCGTCGGCGCCGGCTTCGTCGGCGCGGCCGTGGGCCCCGCGAACGGCGCGGTCGTCGGCGCCGGCGACGGTTTCGCCGTCGTCGGGGCGTCGGACGGTCGCAGCGACGGCGGCGCCGTCGTCGGGGCCAGCGACGGCGCAAAGGGCGCCGCCGTGGGCCAGAGCAAGGGAATAAAAAACGCGTCGTCGAAGTCCTCGACGGACGACGCGAACGTCGCGGCCGCGGACGTCGTCGCGGCGCTGGAGAGGGCCGCCGAGGCGCCGTAGAGCTCGCTGTACTGTTCCAGCGCGGCGTTGAGCTCGTCGTTGCGCAGCAGGGCCGCGCGGACGGCCGCGACGAGCAGTAACGACGTGTTGTAGCGCGCGCTCGGATTTTCCACCTCCAGGACGAAGCTCAGGTCGATGGAGGCGACGTCGACGGGCTCGAAGTCGTCGATCTGCAGCGACGAGTCGACGAGGGGCTCGACGCCGTCCGGGCCGTAGAGCGCCGCGAAGAGCGCGTCGCGCGTCGCCGAGGCCTCCGCGTTTCCGAACGACGCCGCGGTCATGTTCGCCACCCGGAACGTCGCGCTCACGTAGGCGACGGCGAGGCTCGCGTAGGGCGTCGTTTTCGCGGCGCCGCCGCCGCCGTCGTCGTCGTCGCCGCCGCCCGCGGCGACGACGCGGTACGCCGCGAAGCACGTCATCGCCAGCACCTGGGCAGCACAAGAGTGATTCAACGTCGCTTCAACGTGAGTGTTCCGCGCGCGCGCGTTCCGTAAAAAGCATCCACGCTTCGAGACCGTTCCGAGAGATGATCGCTCGTCCCAAAATCAGCCAAAACGAGTGGAAAACGGCCGAGAAAGGAGCCTTTGAAGTTGGGAATTTCGCTCTCTTGTGCTGCCCTGGCCAGCACGAAGAGGCAGCACCAGGCCCCGAGAAACGTGCGCGCGCAGCGGTCCGACGACGCCGCGCCGCCGTCCTCCGGCTCCGCCTTGTCCCGTTCTTCGGGTTCCTCCAACCCGAGGAAGGCCCGGCCGGCCCGCTCCGTGGACGCGCGCCGATCGCGCGGCGGGAGCTTGATCTCCGGAGGGACGCCAACATCGTCGACACGTTTCTCCCGCTCGACCTCCTCGAGCTGGGCCGCCATCCAGTCCTCGGCCTCGAAGTCGGGCTGGGCGGGGACGCCGCCGTCCTCGGGCGCGTCGTCGATGTCCGGCGTGTGGCGCTCGTTCGGCTCGTCGACGGGCGCGTCCGGGTGCGGCCGCGCCCACTCGCGCTCGTGCTGGCAGCAGAAGAAGGGCTCGAGGCCCGTGAGGGATCGGACGATGTCGAGGGCCGCGTCGGGTTCCGGCGCGTCGAACTCCGGCGCGTCCGGCACCGCCGCTCTGCGCCACGCGGCCTCCTCCGCGAGGCGCCGGCTCTCCCTGGGCGCGTCGAACCAGCGCTGCGGCGACACGGCCTTCTGCGCCGAGCTCGCGACGGGGGCGAGGTAGGCCGGCTGCTGGTGCGGCGGCGCGCTCCGCGCTTCGCCGCCGAGGCTCCGGCGCCGGCTCTCCATGAAGTCCTCCTTCTGGCGCGGCGCGTCGCCGCTGCTTTGCCGGCCCCAGCGGTCCGCCATGGGTGCGCTGGCAGCGTCGCGTCACTCACGCGGCGACGGCACGCGCGTCCTCGAGGCTGCCGATGCTTCGAAGCAAGAAGTCGAGAGCAACCATCCCCATGCTCGAAAAATCGGTTAAAAGTGATTGAAGCGGATACGGACGCTTCATTGCCCCCCAACTTACCCCACGATTCGGTCCAGTGTGCCGGTTTGGGCGGCATGGCGCCGCGCGTCGGCGGCGCGTTGGCGCTGCTCGTCGCCGGAGCATCGGCCCAGTGCCACAACAACTGCAACCAGAAGGGCCTCTGCAACAGCCGGTCGATCTGCGAGTGCTTCACGGGCTACGCGGGCCCGGACTGCGCCGACCGGAGCTGCCCCTCGGGCCGGGCCTGGTCCGACATGCCCAACGCGACGGACAGCGCGCACGCGTACGCCGAGTGCTCGAACCGGGGCTACTGCAACCGGAAGACGGGCTTCTGCGACTGCGACGCCCTCTTCGGCGGCTTCGCGTGCGACCGCCTACAGTGCGCGACGATGTACAGCGAGGCCGAGCCGGACGAGTTCGGCGAGCAGCCCGAGTGCAGCGGCCACGGCCGCTGCATGAGCGTCGCCGAGGCCGCCGAGTCCTTCGACGGCTTCCACCTGAACCGCAGCGCCCACCGCTACGACCCCCAGGGCGTGCCCTACGATTTGTGGGACGCGGACATGATCTACGGCTGCGTCTGCGACCCGGGCTTCGAGTCCTTCGACTGCTCCAAGCTCACCTGCGACGTGGGCGACGACCGGCGCACGGTCGGCCAGCGCGACGAGGTCGCGACCCTCTTCTGCAAGTGCGAGGCGCCCTGCAACGGCAGGCTCGCCGTGTCGTTCATGGGCGACGAGTCGACGATATCGCCCGCCGCGACGGCCGACGATTTGCGGATCAAGCTCGAGGGCATGCGCTACCTCCACGCCGAGGCGGGCCTCCTCTACCCGAAGCCCATCGCCGTGACGTCCGGGGGCACGACGGACGGCGCGATCTGCTCGCAGGGCGGCCAGCGGAGCGTGATCGAGTTCCTCCGCGACGCGGGCGACCTGCCGCCGCTCTGGGTCGACGACGCCGAATTGTTGAGCGACATGGGCCGGGGCTACGCCTACATGGAGACGAACATGACGCTCAACTGCTCCTGCGCGGCCTGCTCCGGCTCCTTCACGCTGACCTACGACGGCGAGGCCACGGGCGGTCTGTCCTACGACGCGTCGCCGGGCGACGTCGAGGCGGCGCTGCTGCGGCTCTCCAACCTCCAGGAGGGCGACGTCCGCGCCGTCCACTGGGGCGGCAACGCGGGCGCGGGGCTCTGCGTCGGGGAGAACATCCTCGTGACGTTCACGATGCCGTCGGGCAACCAGCCGCCGCTCGTCGCGACGTCGTCCCTGCTGGAGTCGGGCGCGCCCGGCGGCGCCATCGACGTGTGCAGCAACGACGGCACGAAGGAGCGCGACCTTTGCAACGCCGCGGGCTTCTGCGACCGGGATGGGCTCGTCACGCTCGACATCGAAGCGACGGATCCGAAGTTGGTCAACGGCACGTGCGCGTGCGACGAGGGCTTCGTCTTCGACCAGGACTTTGGCTCCTGCGGGCGGCCGGCGTACAACACGTCGGCGTGGACGGGCCTCCAGCGGTGCCCGGGCTACGTCACGAAGGACACCGCGCGCGAGCCCGCGGCGCCGCTGAACTGGCGGTGGCTCTACGTGGCCGACGGCATGAACCTGACGGAGCTCGTCGAACTGGAGAACAACCCCGTCGTCGTCTCGTCGGCGAACGAGTCCGGCAGCGGCGACGTGAAGCTGCCCGGGGCGTACCAGGTCGGCCCGCTCGAGCCGAACGAGGAGGACGTTCCCGAGACGACGCAGCTCTGGAACATGACGAACTCGTCCGTCGCCGGCGTGGCGCTGGATTTATCGTGGCGGGAGTTGTACTACGTGGACCGCGACCTGGGAGGCATCCGTGTGGCGAAGTTAAAGAACTACAGCGACCAGCTGACGATCCAGGAGAACCGCTTCGAGAACACGATCGTCGTCCAGGGCCTCGGGAACACGATCGACGGCATCACGCTGAATCTGTTGTTCGGCGAGCGGACGCTCTACGTGGCGGACCCGGGCCGCGACGGCCACAAGGACGGGAAGATCTACATGGTGTCGCTCGAGGACCGCGGCGGCGCGTACGGGGAGACGTACCTCTACGCGAACGTGACGAATCTGACGACGGTCATCGGGAGCCAGGTGGCCCTCGTGGACCCCCAGGGCCTCGCGCTGGACCTGCTGAACCGCAAGCTCTACTGGACGGACTCGGGCAACAGCTCCGTCGAGGACGGCAAGGTCTACATGTCGAATCTGGACGGGTCCGACGCGGTCTGCGCGCTCGAGCGGGGCCTCTGGGACCCCATGGGCATCGTCTTGGACCTGCGCAACTACACGATGATCCTCACGGACGAGTCCGCGGGCCACAACGGCCACGGGGCGATCATCAAGGCGAACATGGCCTACGGGCCGGAGACTGTGTGGAAATCGACCACTGGTTTGGGAGGTCCCCACCAAACTTCAGAACTCTCTAGCTCGGTCAAATCGAAGTCGATTCGGCTGATTTTTGGGACGGATCGATCGCTCTCGTCGAGTTCTCAAGCGCGCAAAGAGCTTGCGTCGAACCATTCGAATACGCTCAAATTGAATTCGGGTTGAAGATTTGATTGCCACACAGGCCGGAGATCTGGAAGCAGAAGCCCAACGCCATCGCGTACTACGCGAACCGGACGTGGTGGCAGGTCATCCTCGAGGAGTACGAGACGCTAACCGTGGGCGGCGTCGACACGCTCCACAAGCCCTATGGGATCGTCCTCGACACGACGAACGACATGCTCTACGTCTCGGACTCGGAGTCGGGCCACATCATCAAGTGCGACGTCAACGGCAGCTTGGGGAGCGTCGTGCCCATGACGTTCATGGACCAGGGCGTCCCCATGGGCATGGCCCTGGACAACGGCCTCGGCCCGTCCCAGGACCGGGGCGCCTACGAGTGCTACGGCCACGGCCGCTGCGGCGGGCCCGAGGCGAACTTCAAGTGCGCGTGCGACGAGGGCTGGTACGGCAACTGCAACATGTCCACGTGCCCGCTGGGCCGCGCCTTCTTCGACCAGCCCTGGACGCGCGACGAGGGCCACGCCCTCGTGCCCTGCTCGGGCAACGGCTACTGCGACGCGTCGACGGGCGCGTGCGACTGCCGCGACGGCTTCGAGGGCGGCAACTGCGAGCGGCTGAGCTGCCCCGTGGGCGCCAACGGCGAGACGTGCTCGGGCCACGGCGAGTGCCTCACGATGCGCATGCTCGGCGCCTTCGCGAGCTACAACGGCGAGCGGACGCCCGTGGACTACGGATCGCCCAAACAGATCAACGCGACGGCCTGGGACGCGGACGTCGTCCAGGGCTGCCTGTGCTACGCGCCGGGCTACCGCAACGGCTCGTTGCAGAACATGTCCGCCTGGACGGGCTACGACTGCTCGCGGCGCGAGTGCCCCACGGGCGACTACGCGGCGCAGCCCTACGTGACGAACGCGAACGGGACCCGGGTGTTGAAGTCCTTCGAGGAGCAGGTCATCACCTGCAAGGCGACGGGCGGGTCTCTGAAGTTGACGTTCCGCGACGAGACGACGCGCGCCATCGAGTACAACGCCCGCGTCGAGGACGTCGCGGCCGAGCTCGAGGCGCTGTCGTCCATCGGGTCCGTCGACGTCTGGGGAGGGCAGGGCAACGCGACGGGCATCCTCTGCGACTGGAACGCGAACAACGTCTCCGTGTCCTTCACGTCGGAGCTCGGCGACGTGCCGCTCATCGTCGCCGACGGGTCCCTGCTCGACGGCCCCTACGAGCTCGTCGTCAAGGAGTACCGCAAGGGCACGAAGGACGACTACGTCTGCTCGCTCCACGGCGAGTGCGACTACGACACGGGCACCTGCGACTGCTTCGCGCCCTACACGACGTCCGACGCGAACAACGCCTTCGGCTTCCGGGGCGACTGCGGCGTCGCGCTGCTGTAACACGGTGCGCGCTCATCTTTGAGCGGCTCGTTGATGGCATGTTGACGACTTGTTGACGAGGACGAGTCAGCATGGGCAAATCATTGGCGCCCGTCGTCGTGGCGGCGCTGCTCGTCTCTACGGCGAGCGCGCTGCGGCCGCAAACGCTGCGCACGCGCGCGCCGACGCGCCGCTCCGGCTTCTTCGACGCGCTCGTCGGCGGCGATCCCGCCGACGACATCCGCGCCAAGGAGAAGGTCCTGCCCGGCCGCTGGCGGCTGAGCTTCGCGCTCCCGGGCTACGACACGCGGAAGAACGTCATCGCCGAGTTCGACGACCTGCTCGGCTACGAGCCGCCCCAGGGCGAGCTCGTGCTCGTCGACGCGGAGGGAGCCCGGCGCCGCGCCGGCAGCTGGAAGCTGAGCGAGGACCCCGAGGACAAGAAGGACGGCCTCTGGGTCTGGGGCCTCTTCGAGGAGCCGCTCTACCCGTTCCTCCTTTTATCGTTGGACAGCGAGCAGATCGGGCTGCCGTCCGGCGGACGCCTGCAGGTGCAGATGGGCCACAAGGCGCGCCCCGGCGAGGACCAGCAGCTCCTCGGGGCCGGGTCCGTCGCCGTGCGGCAGAAGGAGATCTACGAGGCCGACCGCATGGGCATCTCCAAGGCCGTGCTCGACATCGACACGGCCATCGGCACCGTCTCCGCGCAGCCCGTGCGAAACGACGAGCGCGGCGCCGCGGAGCCCGAGCCGGACGCGACGCCGCTCGCGGCCGCGGCCGAGGCGACCGAGGAGTAACACGCTAGACTACTGGCGGTTCCCAGGACGACTCGCCCGTGGCCGCGTTGTAGTAGTAGAGGTGGCCCTCGTCCGTGTAGGCGCTCGTCCAATCGCCGCGCTTCGTCTCGTCGGCCTTGGCGAGGGGGGGCGTCCCGAAGCGCCACGCCGACGAGCGCCGCTTTCCCCGACCCGAGGCGCCGCGGCGTCGTCCTCGACGCGCGCGCGCTCGTCCGCCGCGTCGACGGCGGCGCCTCCGGGAGCTCGACGCTCCCGCCGTCGGGACTCAGCGGGTTCGGCGTGAAGTCGACGGGCGACGCCGCGCCCGTCGAGCTCCGCGGCTTGCCCTCGTCCGGCGCCGGCGGCTCGTCGCTCCGCCGCAGGAGCACGTAGCGCCGGTAGCCGTTGGCGCAGACGGACGCGAGGCTCGCGGCGAGCGTCGCGAATTCGATGACGCTGTCCGCCGACGGCGCCAGCAGCGCCAGCACGGACGCGACGGCGGTGACGCCGTGCTTCGCGAGGTCCAGGGCCAGGGAGACGCGGCTCGAGAAGACCGTGGGAAACGACCGCGCGAAGTGCTTGAGGCCGATGCGCTTCAGCCGCACCACGCCCTCGTCGTCGCGGTCCCGCGCGTTCGCGCGCCAGGGCAGCAGGGGGATGAGCTCCGGGTCCAGGGTCACGAAGCCCGCGATGACGAGCAGCAGCCGCCGTTTGCGCGGGTCCGCCGGGAGGTCCAGGCCCGGCGCGACGACGCGGAGCCGAACGAGGAGCGCCGCGGACCTGGGCAGCAAAAGGGTGATTCAACGTCGCTTTAACGTGAGTGTTTCGCGCGCGCGCGTTCCGGAAAAAGCATCCACGCTTCGAGAGCGTTCCGAGAGATGATCGCTCGTCCAAAAATCAGCCGAAACGAGTGGAAAACGGCCGAGATATGAGCCTTTGAAGTTGGGAATTTCGCTCTCTTGTCCTGCCCCGCCGCGGACGACAGCGCCGCGCACGTCAGGACGCTCACCTCCACGTAGAAGAGGACGCGCCGCGTGTACCAGAGTTCGATCAAAAAGCAGATGACGAAGGCCGTGTCGCAGACCGACAGGAGCAGCATCGTCCGCTTCTGTTTGTCCGACACGCGCGACTCCGCCACGACCAGGATGGGCTCGAGGACGGCTAGGAGGCCCAGCGCGAGCACGCCGAGCGACCGCAGGATCCACCGGTACCAGACGCTGCGCTTCTTCGACCGCGACCACGCGACGCCGCCGCTGGCGATGAAGACGAGGCCGTCGTCGTCGACGGCATTTGCGGCGACGACCGTCGCGTTCGTCGGCCGCAGCGACGGCGCGCGCGACGGCGCGCGCGACGCTCGGGCGACGACGGCGCGGGCGACGACGGCGCGGGCGACGACACCACCACCTTTTGGGGCGCGGGCTCCGCGGACGGCGCGACCGTCGGCCGCGGCGTCGGCCGCGGGGTGGGCCGCGGGGTGGGCGGGTGGCAGTTGGACGCCTCGCACTCCAGCCACGAGTTATCGTAGGTGATGCCGTCGTCCTTCACGGCATCGGCGCACCAGGGGTAGTGCCAGCTGCCCTTCCCTCCGCTACCGACGTCCGTGCAGGCCTCGTAGGTCACATCGTAGTAGATGAACGGGAAGATGCAGCCCGCGGGCTGGCAGTCGTCGAACCAGTCGTCGCCGAGCGCGACGCGGGCGATGGCGGCGAGGGCGAGCCAGCGCACCATGGCGGCGCCGGCCGTCACGCCGCTCGGCGGCGACGGAAAGGCAGCCCCATGATGCACGCGCGAGACGCGGCAACATCTACATGCAGACTAAAAGCAGTCCGAGTTGCCCAGGCCTAGGCGTGGCGCAATGAATTGCGCGATGGGATCCGCCCGCGCGCCCACGTGCCGCAGCCGCATGAGCTCCAGCGACGTGTTATCGCTCGCCGAGGCGCCACGCCGTCGAGCGCCGCGGCCCCGACCCGAGGCGCGCGGACCGCGTCGACGACGGCGCCTCGGGGAGCTCGACGGCGGCCCCGTCGAAGGTCTTCTGCAGCGGGTTCGCCGTGAAGCTGACGGGCGACGACGCGCCGCGCGGCGCGCCCCCGTCCGGCGCGCCCGGCGCCTGGGCAGGAAAAGGGTGATTCAACGTCGCTTCAACGTGAGTGTTCCGCGCGCGCGCGTTCTAGAAAAAGCATCTACGCTTCGAGACCGTTCCGAGAGATGATCGCTCGTCCAAAAATCAGCCGAAACGAGTGAAAAACGGCCGAGATAGGAGCCTTTGAAGTTGGGAATTTCGCTCTCTTTTCCTGCCCTGCCCGGCGCGTCTCCGCGCCGGAGGAGCACGCAGCGCCGGTAGCCGTTGGCCAGCACCGCCGCGAGGCTCACGGCGAGCGTGGCGAACTCCAAAACGCTGTCCGGCGACGGCGCGAGCACGGACACGATCGACGTGGCGGCGGTGACGCCGTGCTTCGCCAGGTCCACGGCCAGGGAGACGCGGCTCGAGAAGACCGTCGGGAACGACCGCGCGTAGTGCTTCAGGCCAAAGTGCTTCAGCCGCAGCACGCCCGCGTCGTCGCGGTTCCGCGCGCTCTCGCGCCAGGGCAGGAGCGGGATGAGCTCCGGGTCCAGGGCCACGAAGGCCGCGATGACGAG